ATTGGGGATCTGCCGAGGCTGCCGGTTTACTTAAATGAGGGTGTCACAGCCAGCAGTCTAGGCAGCTGGATGCAGGTCTTAGCAGGACTTACATTCTGGAAATCCAGGTATAGACAGACAAAGGTTTAAGGCTCTCAAATGCACCTACCAGAGAGCTCCCCCAGGCCTCAGAGAGCCCTCTGCTCCTATGAAAACCATGACTTTGGGATAACAGACTTATCCAGGTTGTGAATGTGGCCTTTGGAGTTTCATTACTCCTACAAGTGAGCCTGGACTCCAGCTGCTGTGGACAAATGTCTCTTTAAATGCTGTCAAAGAGAAGCTTGAATGTGTACACTTCCCTGCAAATTGATGATAGGTCTGAGGCTGCTATCTTCTTCTAGTGTATCAGTAGAATTTAGCAAAATCCACCTGATCCAAGAGTTCCAGTAGATTCTATTTACTCCATAGTCAATGTTGTAACAGGGTCTAATCCTCTTCCATCTGTGCCTCACCCTTCTGCAAAGTCACAGGGTCTGTACTACTGACTGCTGATGGGTGATCCCCTCCTTTGTCTTGTCCTTATAGGCTGCCTTTAGCATCATTCTTGGGAACAGCTACTTTAGTTCAGGTCCTCTGTAGTAGAGACTGGCATGTGAATTCTTGTGAGAGTGATTCACTGGTGTGGACTTTCAGAGGCGAGATAGTGAGGGAAGCAGGACAAGGGCTAATGGAAGAAGGCTCTGTCTGTGACCTCAGCTGGGGACTCGAGGAAAAAAAACCATATGCAGAGTTGGTCATATCTTGAGGCAGGAAGCTCCCTTTGGAAAGTCCACTTTAGTCAGTCACCAGGGAGGGCCTGAGAGTGGTTCACCAGAGCAGCTGTGAGCTCACAGTATCTGGCCTAGCATTTGGGGAATGCAGTACCTCTCAGGAAGAGAGATCTGAGCAGGGCACCAATGGCATTTCATACAGATGCTGCGAGCTGGTAGATTGTGCTTTATTTCTTGTAAATAATTTTTATTCCTGCATGTTTATGATACAGAATAGTGGTTTTCCTTTTGGAAAATTGGTGCCTGCATAAAACATATGCTGGTCATTTAAAATTCCTTCACTGTGGTTCCCTCCCTCCATCTTGTCTCCCATCTCCAGAAGTCTGCCTTCTAGCTTTTGATTGCCAATATTTTGTTCTGTTCACTGTCTGAGTCTGGCTGTTTCAGGTAGCACCTTGGTCTTGAGTTCCATCCATTGCATGCTAATGACACAATTTGCTTCTTCTTACATTTACCACATTTTCTTTAGCCACTTATTTGTTGATTGTGCAGAGTGTAGACTGCCCTGCTTAGGCCCACAGTCTTTGAAAGCAAAAGGACCTATGCTTGGGGTCCTGCTCTACCATTTCGGTATCTGTGCCACTTAACTTTGCTGAACCTCAGTTTTCTCATCTGTAAAGCAGTGGTAACTGTGATACTGCCTTCATAAGATTATGGAAAAACTTAAGTCAAATGATTAATGTAAAACATTTGGCATTGTTTTCTAGCATGTATTAGTAATCATTATTTATTAAGTTGTTACAACTACTACAAATTTTACTTATCATGGCACCTCATAATAGCTGGTGCTCAAAAATATTTATATTGAATTAATTCACGATAAATTTGCTAAGCAGATATTAGGAAATGTGCCCCTAAGAGATCTTGCATAAGAGAAAAGAAAGATATGTACCTCCAGATCCTGAGTAGTGACTTTGAACCCCACTGCACATTCCCCATACATTCTCCTGGAGGGCCATGGTTCTCCAGGGAGGACCCAGCTGCAACCTCTCGCTCCCTTTGGTCCTCTACACTGATGTCAGTGCATTAGTCTGAGTCCCATTTTTGCAATTACAATTACAGACTCCCCCATGCAGGATGGAATAAAATGGAACAGCTGAGGGACCCATCTCAGGCACATTTCCATTTCCCAGAGGACTTTTGCACTCAAAATAGTTTTAAGATTAAAAGGCACAGATGGCTGGTCTTACCAAGAATGGGAATAAGAACACACAACTTAAAGGGTCATAATTAAGCTACTTGAGAAAAAGTTAAGTTGTAAAATCCATATTTCACAAATGAATTGGATTGAATCAAGGCATAGAATGGTCCTTTTTAAACTATGGTAACCGTGCCTTTTGTTCATACTTATGTTAAGATTTAGTCACTTTGATGGAAAAGGAATGAATGAAAGAGTGTGTGTGGGGGGAGAGAACGCTAGCTTGTGTGTGTGCTTCTGATCCACGGTCTTTCTGCAGGCCCAACTCCTCAAGGCCTTCAGGGATACCCCATTCCTAACTTTTGATATTTGTTCACTATTGACACCTCCACAGCCCCCGACCCCCTCTCTTTCAATCTCCCAGGCTGTATTTGTGTACTGCTGGGTTTCACCAGCTGGTACTGGTGTTTGTTTGTTTGTTTTTTTTATCTTGGAAGCAGCTGTGTAGATAGAGAAAGATTCTGTGTGCATTTGTAGTTGTTACTTTCCAAGCCTGTGGCTCTTTGTGATTCTCTCATTTAGACCTGTGGTGGGGTGAGCGACCTACATTACATCATAAAGCCAAGAGGGTGTCAGCTTCACATTGAGATGTCAACAAGCATTTCTTCTGCTGCCCTGCTTGTGCCTGGTCTTTGATTTCCTTATCTTAGCACGACCTGACCCTTGCTTCTAGTGCTCTCAGATGGATGTGACAGCTAACTTCACATCTGGATTTCACTAAGCAGATTTCACTGTTCTGTCCTGTCCTATTGTCCTGTAAGTGCAAGTGTTGGCTGGCCAGAGGGCCCTACTTGATTTAGAAATTCAGGTTACTTTAGATATGGGCTGTTGAAAAGATGGGTTTGTGTATGTACAAGTGCACACCATGGTCTCCATTTATTTACCTACATTTTAGAGCTGAGATATTGAGCATTTTCATGGGCTCGAGGTTACAAGGGAATGCATCAGGGACCCTTCCCTCATGGAAGTTCACTTTTTGGAGCTTGGAGAAGACAGAAGAGTAAACAAGTTCAAGACATCCCTGAATGTTACAGAGAGAGCACCCAGGGCCATATTATAGCACACAGGATGAAGGTGACTTTGTCTAGGGCCTGAGACAGGCTCAAACAGATTCAGGCAGAATGAGCAGGCAGCTTTTCAGGGCCCTCCAGAAGATGTGCGATGGATGTAACATACAAAACTGGAGAGGCAAGAAATCCTGCCTGGCATTCAGAAACTGCGAAGGGAAATGCAGTTTGATTCCGGGGGAAAAACGATCGTGGGCTAGAATGAGACTAACATGAGTCACAGCTGGGGTTGGCTGTGGGCAAGGGACTTCATGTCTGTATAACTTTCAGTTTGTTCAAAAGCAGGTATTTTACTAGGGTTGTTGCTGAGATTCCAGGAGGAAGTTAGCCCAGGCTGGGTCACAGCAGATTGTCAATAAATGACAACTTTCTGGCACCTGGCTTTAGAAGTCAGATGAGTCAGTAGTAATGCATGGCAAGGATGAAGCGGGGGAAAAAGGCCAAGACTGTGTCACAAAAGGCGTTTAGGGTCACCACAGTATCCTGTGAGAATGTCATGAAATCACATTTCCCCCCAGGAGAATGTAACTTGGTGTAAAAACTTTAACTCAGTTTCAGGTATTTACAAATTCTCTGCAGTCCACCTGTGCATCCCCACTGGGCACCTCTCCTGTGGGAAATGGGAGCAATGAAAGGTTTCGGGCTGAGTGTGGACTGATCTAATTGTCATGTTTGAAAGATTGCTCTGCAGGTGGTGGGATGAAGTTGGGCTAGAGGTAAGAAGGAGCCAGGAGAATGTGAAGTAGGAGTTGGAACAAAGACATGGTTTTGGGATAGAGGAAACTGGATGATTTTTGACGGGTGATTGCAGTTTAGTGTCAGCCTCTGGGGTCTCTGATCCAGCGTGCCATAAACCAGACTACAGAAAGTAGGAGCGGGTGCAGTTTGTGGGGGAGGGGCCATGACGCTCTTCTTCCAGACAAGTCTGAGCTTGTCTGGGTCTAAGCCTTTCCCGGATAGACAGCGGGGCTAGAGCACAGGGCAGAGCCTGGACTGATCTGGATGAGAGTAAGGAAACCTTCAGGTGGTTGCAGGCTACACGTAGCTGAAGTAACTCAGCGAGTGTTGGGTGTGAGAATGCAACAGGCAGAACACGGGGAACCCCTTAATTTGGGGAACCAGTGTGTATAGAGAAAAAGAACAGGCTCGATTTAAGACGAAGGGAGAAGCTTCAGAAGAGAAGGAGGAGAGTGAGAAATGGAATCATAGATGCCAGAGAGGAAGGAATTTCTAAAAGGAAGGAATAAACAGTGTTAAATGCAGTATGGGGTTAAAGAAACTAGGAAGGGAAGGCTGAGTCACTAGGTTAAGGACCAGGAAATACTGGGTATGGAAATACTGCATGGGTGGCAAATGTATCTTGAATAAAATTCAATACTGAAATATGTTAGAGTATTCTGGTGCAATGGAGTAGTCAAAGTACAAAATGAACAGGTTTATTGAGTTGCGGATGAGGAAAGGAGCACACAACCCATGGCAGCTGGGCTGTCTCCTTCAACAGGTACAGAGAGGCAGAGGGTTCTACGGCCTCTGATCAGAAGTTGTGCTCGGGGCGGCTATTGATGACACGTAAGGAACAGATTGGAAATCTCTGTGCGTGCAAACAGGAAGGGGAGCTTCAATTAGGGCTGAAGAAGAAGCAGGAAGTGGTAAGCATTCTTACTTTGGCCTTCCGCCACCATAATTGTACAGTACAGCAATTTATACTAGGACAAGAACCTTTCAAAATATAGCTGTGACAGGGTGAAAAACTAAAGGTTAAGGAATCGGTGCTGATAAGAACACAAATTTGCTCATGTGTGTGGTGTGTGCTTGTGCACAAGTGCAGGTAAGAAAGAAAGATGATTAGAATTTGTTATGTGTCAGGGTGGGGAGTAACTTTTCAGTGACATCTCTATAACTTTGTGGTTTATTTATTTCTAGAAAAAATCACTGAGAATCCATTCTGTGGAAAGCGGCCTCAGAAGGATGCCTGCCGAACAGCAGGAATGGAGCGCCAGCCTCCCCTCGTCCCCTGGAAGCTGTGTCCAGGCAGAAGCTGCCCCTGCTGGCCTCTGTGGAGAACACAGGGGAGATGACTGTGCAGAGCTGCATGAGTACTTTAACGTCCTGAGTTACAGAAGCCTGGGGAGTTTCAGCTTCCTTGGGGAGAGTGGTTAGCGATCAGAGGCATCTTCTGGAGACATATGCCCCTCTTTGTGTTGTAGATGAAAGTCAGCATCTGTCTTCTCCATCCTGTGGTGTGTATGCTAAGTCAATGAATGACAACTCTGTTCCACTTTGGTTTCTTCTAACCTTGCTTTCCATTTCCTCGTGGCAGACCTGAGTCCCATCATAAATGCAAACTCAAAACAAAAATGAAAACAAAACCAAACTTGACATGCCTTTTAAAATCTGGCAGTTTGACCAGATCCTGTAACTCCAAGAAACACATTCCTCCCAATAGCACTGGACAGTGTTTGTGCTATCAGTTTTGTGGTAGATGATGAGCGTGGTAAGAACACAGGTGTGGTCCACTTGTCTCACTTTCATGTTATCAACATTCATCAACATTCACTTGGTCAAGGAATTTTGTGAATGAGGCATGGTACCAGCCTCTGGGGGGGGAGGGGGTCTAGGAGGACTGAAGCATGGCCACTTACAAAGTACAGTACAAATGTGAGAGCCAAAAGATTGCTGTGCCTGGACTGGCAGGACAAGTGTTTGTAGGAACCTTGTAAGAGTGCCTACTTATAAGTGAGCTGTCAAATTTGATTTTCTTCTCTGGACAACTTTTCCTGTAACATGTGTGATGGCTGGATACAGGGGTTTCCAGGCTCTTCCAGGAATATGTGCGATGCCCCCGGGAAATGCATGTCTATCGAGGAGTCAAGTTCTAGCCCTTGGCTGAACGTCTGTCTATCTTTCAGCTAATGGTTGAAAATAGAATCTGTTTCCACCAAGAGGAAAGCTTGCAATGTTACAATAGGGACTCTTCCTAAAGAGGAAAGAAAAGGGTTTGTGTGTGTGTGTGTGTGTGTGTGTGTGTGTGTGTGTGTATGTGTGAGAGAGAGAGAGAGAGAGAGAGAGAGACAGAGACAGAGACAGAGACAGAGACAGAGACGGAGACACAGAGATGGCAGAGACAGAGACAGAGAAAGGCAGAGAGTGTTTAAGAAGTAAAACTCTCACACTAGCTTCTTTGAGCCTTTTATCTGCTCCCTGAGCTCTTTGTGCTGAGCTGGTGTCTGAACAGTCCATTTCCGTTGGAAGTGCATTCGGGCTGAATTTAAAAACTTCATTCTTCCACTGTTTCTGTTAGAAGGATGAGCAAGGAGGCTGCGGTTAAAGTTACTGATTTTTTTTCTTGGGCAAAGGAACTGAGAGACAATGTGAAGCAAGGCAATCTCTTGTCAATGGCTAAAACAAAACATTGCCCTGCCCCTTAAGAATCAGCCAGAGTTAAACAAGAAGACGGTGTAACTCCTATTCCTCTCTGGATTCCCCTCACCCCACTTTGCCATCCAATAGGTCTGTAGTTAGGAGTAGTGAATTGAAGTATGTCCTGAGCTCCAGTCTTTTAGAAGAAAGATAGACATGTGTAGCATGCTTTTGTTTGCTATAGCAGTTCACAGTATTTTTCTTGCAGAACTAATGCAAATATGTAGGGAGTAGAACGTAATTCATGAATTGGAAATGAACTAAAATGTAATGACAAGGAGGGAGTGGTGTTTTGATTTGAAGAAGATCTATATTGAGCTGAGGTTGGACTGAGTGTTGGGTGTTACTTAACACAATTATGGTAATTTGGAAATGTTTGCAAATACCATTGGGATGTGATAAAATACAAAAGAGCCTATAGATGTTGGAAATGGGTCAGGTTACTAAAATGAGATTCACTTTGACAGAAAATAAATTTCAAAGTGGGATTCACTGAAGTAGATTCTCCTGAGAACCTGTGAAGACATCTGCTAAAAGCTGGATTTCTGAAGACATGATGTCCAGGACAGTAGCTACCTTCGACACATCACTGTCCAAGCACTTGCATTTGGGTTACTTTGAACTGGGGTGTGTTGCACTGTGTGTAAAACACACATCAGATTTTGAGGACAATATGAGCGAGTCATAAAAATGTAACTATCTCGTTAGGAATTTAAAATACTGATTGTATGCCAACATGGCAACTTTTAGATATATTGGATTAAATAAAATGTTACTAAAATTAACTTCGTTTCATTTTGCTTTTTAAAGGTGGTTCTTGGAAAATTTACAGTTGACTGTGTGCTTCCCATTACATTTCTATTGGACTATGCAGCTCTAGATCATAAATCCAACCTGAGCTGGTCCCTGGGAAAATATCTATGTATGTCTGTTGGTCTTTGTATCTGTTTTTCAGAATAGTGTTTGAGAAAGTTTTCCTTCTTATTATGCTTGTTGGGGAATTTATAGGGAAGTCTCAGAGGGGATTCTGAGGTTGGGGACAACTGAGTGCTGACCGAAAAAGATTCCAAATTCTCCTGGATCTCTTTTGGATTCTCTGATAGGAGGAGAGAATAAATGGATCTGCGAATGACGGCACAGAAAGAAATACATTATTGATTCTCTGCCCACAATCTAAGCCTTAGAGCGACTCATCTGAAATCCAGAGAATTATCATTGAACATATGTAGTAGAGTGTAAGCCACGGAGCTTTGAGCTAGATGGTCTTCATGAATGGGCAGCACCTTGCCATGAAGTTTCCCTTGAGAGCTTGTCTCTTCTCATCCTCTTTGTTTCAGATGTGAAATGTCACATAGTTATGTTCATACAGAGTCATCAGTGCTTAGCTGGACGGGCTCAGATGCTGAGTGCGTTGTCTACAGATAGTATATGGCTGGTGGTTTGTGAGATGTACAGTGTTAAATGAACATTATTATTGTATTACATCTCATGAGAAGATGCACATGTGCATTCTGATGGACCCACCAAACCCATACAAAGGAGAGAATAGGCAGCTTGTTTATCACTGCCAGCTGTGGGTGTGAGTTTTGTTCAGTCTTTTGATTCTTCTCAGTCCCACTTTGTGACCATGACTACTACTGTCCCATACCCACTCTAAAGCACAACTGTGTTCCTAAGGGAACCTCACGTGTGACAAAAGCCTGAAGTTTTCAGAAGTCAGAACATACTTGATACTTGGGAAAATTCAATCTCATAAGGTAGTCTGTAGGGCAATACTGTCCGGTTGAACTTTCTGTGACAGTGAAAATATTCTCTGCCTGCACTGTCTAATATTGTAGCCACTAGTCACACGTGGTTTATGGAGCATGCAATTTGGCAAATGGGACAAAGGAAATTCAGTTAGAATAAATAATAAGATGATTGGGATAAATAAGGTGTTGAATGTCACAGTTGTAGCAAATGGCTTCATACAGACAAAGAGCTGTGTTTATAGACTTCAGATGGTAAACATTTGACATGGTTTCTACCCAAAAGAGACATGAAGGAGCTCTGTCTAGTTTTTTAATGTCCTTCCTTTGATTAAGAAAGCATGAGGTCAAAAACAGGCAGTTCATTTAATTATTTATATTTGCAACTCTTGTCAAAGCAATCTGAGGTGGATAAGTGACCACGATCACATAAATGGGGTCAAAACTGTCAAGAAATTTGCAAGTCATAGATGCTGTGCAGGAGTGGACTCCTCGCAGGACGCACTGGGGGCTGCAGTCACTCTGGTTCAGGTAGGTTGTGAAATCCCCTTCTTAGGGACTAAACCACTGGTGGATTTCACTGCAATCAAAGCACAGTAACCAGTGTGTAGAGGACCGGAAATTGGGGTACTTGGTCCAAGTGTTAATCTGTACAATGAAGTTTTGTGACTTTGGATGAGTAACCTCACTTCTCATAGCCTCATTAGAAATATTTCCTAGTTTGTAAAATGGAAATAGTCATATCTGCTTTCTAGGGTTAAGAGAATGTGCCAAGACTATTATTGTAATCCCAAATACTGTGTATGGTAATCCCTTTTCCAATCTTCCTCACAATCTAAAACGTTATATTTATAATCCCATTGAGACGTTATTGGAATTCCATTGAGTTAATTCCATTCCATCTCCAAAGTAACCCATGGTGAGAGTAAAGACTCCAAGACATATTCCAAGTTAGGAGCATCCCAGGGTTCCTCAGACCAATCCCCGAGAGTATGTGTGGACAGAGGCCCTAATCCAAGGCCTCTCCCAGAAATTATCTTGTGATTGAGTGGGTGGCTCAGGGATGAGTGACAGTGAAGATGGTGGTAACTATGTGAGTAACTTCAGCTGGCTGGCCAGGTAGGGAGAATGACGTGCAGAAGGACCAATCTGTATAATTCAATTAAGTTAGCAACCAAATTGCTTTTGGAGGCTGTTGCTTTAGTTTCTGATATGTAAATTTTTGTGTCCTGGGGACTCATAGCTTCTTTATCTCAAGGCTCACACCCAGTTTACGTTCCTGGAGTTGACTGGCTTTACCCATCCTCTGTGCTCATATCTTTTACAGAGAGCAATATGTGAGGAAACAGGAGACTGTCTGATGACTTTGGAGATTATATACCAGTACCTTGGCTATCCTTATTTGTAATACTTAGAACCAATTGAAGACAGAGGGAAATATAGTCCACTCTCTATATATCAGTATATGGAAATAAGCCTTGATATAATCAAAGTCGCAGCAATTGTTCTGCATTCAAGGGAAGTCACTCAAATTGTCTCCTACAACTATGACTGCCTGCCTTGTGAGATATACAGTGTTAATATTCATATTGTGTTATTCCTTGTAAACACATGCACCTGGCACTGCTCAAGATGGCAGAGGTTGCTGAGGGGGCAGCAAAACTTGCTACGAGCAACTCAGATATCTGCAATTGTTAATAATCTTAAAACCTGGAAATTAAGGAAAGTTAAATGCTGCAGATGCAGCCTTGGTCCACGAGTTCCTTGTAAGCATTTATACATTTTGTGTTTTAAATTAGAAGATATTTTTAAAAAGTCAAACACATCTTAGATATTGATGATCTTACAACAGGGTACATTTATTGCTTTTTATCTTTATTCTTGCATTTATAATTAAGTATTGCGAGAGAGACAGAGAGATTGGGGGGGGAGAGAGAGAGACTTACTTCATAAATGATTTATCTGCTCCAGGTCGCTGAAACAGTGAGAGGTTTTGTAGCAGCTGACATACAGTGAAAGTGGAGGGAGGGCTATCTTCCCTTTGCACAGTGCAGAGTGCTGAATTCATGGTGTGACCAAGCAGGTTGTACCCTTCACTGTGTTAGCTGTGACACAGATTCAGCAAAGCATATCCAATATATCAATGTTGTTATTATAAACATAATTACAGTTTAATTTGTGCTTAGTTTATACCTGTGGTTTTATAATTTTGTAAGTTATAAGCATCACATTTATGTGATATGATTGCATATAGTAAAGAATATTTATTATAAAAATACTTGTATATTTTTAACATGTTACTTTACATAATAGAAATAATCTCAAGCTTCTCTTATTAGGAGGATCTGTGAGAGTGTTTTTTTATATGAGAATATATACTAAGTTTGAGAAATATATGTGGATATAAATATCTTTGGACAAAATTAATAACTAGTGTATTGATTGCTTCACGCTGGAAAAACATATTTCTGAATCTCTGTCTTTATCCAGTGGTGTGATAATAGTTCTTTCACTGTGTAATGGTGAAAATGGATGAAGCTATAAACCAAGAATTACCACGAGTAGTGTATTGCTATTTACAAAACCACAGCCTGTATATAAGTCACACTTCTACATGTTGCATGTGTATGCAAGGTGCAAAGACATTTAAAATCTCTGGCTGAAGTGAGTTGGCGTCATTAAGATGTTGGTAAGGTTCACAGAAACCGGGAACAAATCATGCATCATAAAAATGTTTTCTTCCTCTTTGTTTTCCACTTTCTAGAATGTTGTTAACTTAGTTCAGTCCTCTAGCTGCAAGAATTCAGTTTGTGAAGTCATTGTAAAGTTTCCAGGGTTCACTGGTCATCCTGGAGCACAGCGGTCACTCATGACCTTTGTCATGCCAACTTCATAACTGGGGATTTTTGTGCTTCTCGTATCATTGGAAATGGAAGTCCACACTCACCTCTTCTAACTCAGAGCCTAGTGTGCTTGTGAGTACCCAAACTAGATTGCTTATTCCCTGGACTCTTCCTTGACTTCCTGTATCCACTATCATCTTTGTGTTAGCTTATAAATTCCTATGATACTGAGACCCTATGATGGGATAGATCTAAAATGACCCCCAAAGCTTCATGTGTTTGGACAGTGACTGGATTTTGGTAGTTTCATAGCTGGCTTGCTGCTTGGAGGTGATGATTGGTGGAACAGACAGGTCGCTATGGACACGGCCTGGAAGGATACAGCTGCCTCACCAGTTCTCTGGTTTGTTCTCCCCTTTGTTTTCTGGTTCCTGGGTGCCATTAGCTGAGCAGTTTTCCTGTACTCTGCCCTTCTGCCATGGAGTCAGTGGGAGCCAGCCAATTATGGACTAAAAACTTAAACCAAAATAAATCTTTTAAGTTGTGGGCATTAGGTTTTGTGTCCCAGAAATGAAGAAAGTGACTAAGACAGATTGAGTGGTGCAACACAGCTCTGGATTTTATATGAATCTCTATTTATAGCTGTTTGATTCTAAGGCTTATCAGGTCTGGGTCTCCTCCATTTCACTCACATACTACATAGTGTTAATTGAAACGAAGATGCATACTGAAGAAGTTTTCTCATCATGCTAGCAATTTCTGTGAGAATGATGAAGATAGCATTTATGGGTAGGGTCACATAGAAGAAAGGATCTATGGAACCAGCATGAGGCCCTTAGTGGTGTCCAAAGTCATTGGACAGGGGCATTTTGCATTATGAACTTTCCTTGTCTGCATATAGATTCAGAAACCCAAGAGATAAAAAGAAGGCCCAGTGGTAGACTAATGGCGTAACAAAGATAAGGGGCCATCAAAGGAGGTGGCTGTAGTGTCTTCTGGAAATGGTTATTTCCATAGGAGGCTGATTTTCATGGGGGAAAGGAAAGAAAAAATCTCAATCAATGCATACAGCAGTTAGAAAAACCATGTCACCATTTCTGAGGTTCCAACAGGTGTAGGATAATGCCCAAGTTTACCTTGTACTTCCCTAAAGTGACTTCACCATCACCAGTTTGAAAATTCCTACTTCTTACACAGAGAGGGTCGCTGTTTGATGGATTTGGGGGAACTTTCAGGTATAGCTCTCAAGGTCGATCGTCTCAGCATCAACCAGACCAGCGAGTGTGAAAGAATGTGGAGAGCGGCCTAACAGAGAGGTACACTGCGACTACCACGCGCAAAGAAGACACGGTAGGAAACCAAGAGAAGATTTTTTTTTTTTAATTATTCCTTCATATTCAAACTTCACAAACAGTGTGAACTTGTACAATACCTCGGAAAGTGAAACTTACAAAAAAAGTGCTGGTAACATTTAAAAAAAAACAACAAAACCCCAAAAAACAAACATCATTCTTAGCAACATCAATTACTCTTCCACACAAAACAGAAACCTTGTAAAATTTATTTTCGTATTTTTAAGGCGTAATACTTCCGTATAAAGTATATGCAAGAGATAAAACTTCACAGTATTCCAAAATGTCACAATAATAATAATAATATAATAGTATAATGAAGCGCTACAGTTAATTTTTCTTTTTTTGAATGTTTTTTCCTGTTTAAATAACAAATACAAGTCACAGGTAAATATACGTGAGAAAAATACGAGGCTAATATTAAATGGCAGGTAAGGATACTGTCACTGTAAGAAAAACTGGCAGGATGTGTGTATTTAGTCTATATTTTAAAGCACTTGATAGAAAAGGCGTATGCAAGGTTTTTCAAAACAATTTTTCTGTTTCTTTGATAACTGACAAGAGTATAATGAGAAAAAAAAAGGAACAAACTTCCTCTCAAAACTATTGACCTGCTCATCCCAAACCATGTAGCTCTTGATGGATGGATGTGTGTGTATGTTCATGTATGCATGGATTCTACAGCACACAGATTGGTACGAGCAGTGTTCCATGCCCAGCTGCAAAGACTGGAGGGTAAAGACTGCAGTCATTTGATCTAAGTTCTTCATAGGAAATAATTCTTTCAGTTTAAATCTTTCTCTTTCCTTGCCTCTCTCTCTTTCCAAATTTTCCCAATTCCCAGGTCTTTGGCTGAAAGACAGCCTGATTAAAAACTGCCCTCCATTCAAAACTCACTGGGAAGTGGAAACTGCATAAACAGTGACACCCATATGGACACTGGGAATACCATTTGGATGAATGAATTGTGTTTGATCATGTGTGTATGTGTACGTTTGTGTTAGATTTGAGTATACACTGCTTGTATGTATTTTAGGTCTGAATACAGTATGTGTGTATGTGTGTGTGTGTGTGTGTGTGTGTGTGTGTACACAGTAGCAATTGCAAAAAAGGGCCCATATTCCTTTCCATACTAAGATACAATGTGATAAGAAACATATCTGTGCAGGGAAAAGGATTTCTTCGAATCTTATCACAACACTGTGGCGGGAAAATCAGGAAATGGGTTCACCTTTCAGCAGTCACCACAGTAAACTTCATTGGGAACACACGTGCCCAGATGTCTGATCTGCGCACATGCATGTGTTCACAGCTAGCCATTCAGCCAACAGGTAACAGAAAGACAGCAGATAGTAAAACACGTCAATAAGGTGCTCAAAGAAAAAAGTGGCACCCACTCCTCAATGGATGTCCACGTTAAGGTGCTTCAAAAGTTTTTTTTTTTTTCAGTTTTTATTTTAAACATGAAGAGAGTACTGATTTGCACATGGTAGCTTTGAGCCAGGCCAAGAGTTTTGAGATTTCTGACATCTTCCATTGAAAAGGGCTTTCACTGTAGTTGTTTTGGTCAGTTGGTTGTGGTCACTTGAGTTTAAAACTTTTTTATAGCCAAAAACTGAAATGAAATCAACATGACTAAAAGAAAGAACTGATAAAATGATATATAGAACATTACTGCATTCCCATTGGATCGAGATGGTTTCGCCCATTTTTCCTCTTTTGCTAACACTGTTCCTTTTTTCTTTGTTACATTTCATTCCTTGTGAACATACAGAAATGACCAAAGTCACTGAAAGTGGCTGTTTTTATTTTTTGTGATCTGTTGCAAGAGTCCAACCTTGTTTCTTCTGCTGCTGTTTGTGTAGCATCTGGTTTTATAATGAGCATCTGGATTTTGTGTGCATGTGTGTATATATGCACATATACACACCTATACATGTATAATATATACACTATATATATGTGGGTATATATATAGGAGTTGTGTATACATTTATACATTATATAGTGTATATTGTTTCAACTGGAGATAAACTGAACTGGGTTTAGACACTAGCACATGTCTATCTTTCCCCTGCTCCTTCTGTATATTTTAAACAGTCTGGAGCGTTTATTTATTTTTTAAAGTGCATTTTCAATGCAGAATAACTGTAATCCACTGATTCCTTGGAAAACATTTCTGATGAGAAAAATCTGACAGTTCTCAGCCCCAAGCAAGAAAAACCTGGGTTTGGTCATGCTAGGGGCCGATGTGGCAGTGCCAGGCTCATGCCTGAGTGATTACTGGGTATTCTGGACTCCGGGCACCTTAGCAGCAGCAGCAGCAGCACCTTTATAAGAAGGTAGAGATAGAAAAGGAAGAAGGAAGGAAAGCTCAGAAGAGGAAGAATGAATTCGGTGTGTGTGTACACATCAGAATTGCTAGCTTTGCGATGGATTCGTGCAGTCCCTGCTTGGCTTCAGCTAAGAGCTGCCATCTAGTTCCTTCCCCACCAACTGACACCAACCTCCCTGTGGCCCCGCATGCTCCAGCATCACCCATATGTCCCCACTCCCAGGACTGACTTCTGTGTCAGGTCCCGTGGGTATGTGAGTGCCAGCATCTAGTAGGAATAAGGCACCAGAGAAATCAAAATGTTACAAAAAGATGCAAAACCCCATTTCAAAGAACCTGTCCTGCTGCTCCACTAAAATATTGCATGTGATACCATTCATTTGTGTGTAAAGTGTGTCAGATACAGTCTCTGAAAGGAAGTGGCGGCCCCTCAGCACCAGAGAGCTTTAGGAATGCACCCTTTGTCTAAACACACCCCACCCACCCCACCCACGCCCACCCCACACCACAAGCAAAAGCACCAGATTGGGAGAACAAGGCAGCTTGCACTTGCTCGCCTAATTTTGATAAAATCAAAGAAGTGTATGAATGGAAATTTCAGGAACTGCTCTAAAATCAAATGAATTTAGGCTGTCCAGTGTCTGGTGTGGGATGCTTTAAATTTCGAAAAAGTTTTGTGTAGGGGTTGAAAAGCTTGTGTTTAATGTTTAGGGGGAATGTGCTAAACAAGAATTACTTCTCAGATGATGCCCAGGTCCTCTAACACTTCAACCTCTCCTAACTTTTTAAAAAAATAAACACTGTGAAACGGAAGAGGTTCATCTAACCATAAAAGGATAAAATGAAGGCACATGATTTTATTCGGTCCCAAAATCCTCAAGAAAAACGGTATTTTGCGTGTGTGTTTGTACAAACAAAGTGGGAGGCTGAGGGCCATTAGGGCAGTAGATTAAGGGAAGCTGAAAGGGAGAATTTTGTAGCAAAGAATTTTGAGACAGAGAGAAGAAAGGAGAAAGGAGGAAATGGAAGCCTCTCTTCAGCTTTCTGTCATTGACAGTCTCAAGATTTGGCTGCTTTAGGGTCCAGAAAGGAATTCATTTGTCTTGGTCTAGAAAGTGCCCCAGTTACATATCTCCAGTTAATCATGTTACAGCTTTTGGTGTTTCCCTTTTCCCTTCCCTCCAGCCAAATGATTTTTTAAAAAATATCACAGTTTTGAAAAATTATGTTTTCACTGTCGAAAAAATATGGAAAAGCTATTGAATAGCCTTGGTGCGCGCTGCCTCTCCTCTTCACAGTGAGCAGGTGGATGGACAATCCATTGAATCACAGAGGAGGTGGTCAAGATCCCTTGTGCTGAATGGTTCCTTGCCTCACCTCCCTGGGGAATGGGGGGTGCTCCACAGCACCCACAGCCATTCTGTCACTGGGATCCCTGCCCCGCTCCCGTCCATGGAATGTGGGCTGCTGAGAAAGGCAGAGCCGTTCTGGAGAGCCGGTAACAGGCGGGTCTCAGAAGCAGAAGGTGAAGGAGACAGGACATAGGCTGGCTCCTGTACGGCTTTATTAGCGCTGTGCTCCGTCGGCAGCCTCTCCCCAGGATGGAGAAGCATGGTTGCCCCTGAGAGGCTGAAGTCCCACTCACATGTTACTTCCTGAGACCTCAGCTCTCAGCTTCACCCACTTCACGCCTCTCTTTGCATCAGAGCTGGCCCCAGTCCCTAAGAAGGCAATAATCCCAGACGGAGAGGCAGCACCAACTGGCTGTGTCATACAAAAAAAGGACTATGGACAGTGGGATTTCAGAAACAAATTTAACTTTGGTTTTCCAACTTTTCAAACCATAAGAATTAAAGCAGAGCTTCGGTGGCATCAATCATCTGAGAGCTGTTGTAGTTTTCTCATTTGGCAAGGCTAAGGCAGGGGGGAAGAGAAAAGGGTTTTCCCACAATTGGTTGAAGACACAGGGTGGTAAATGCTTCCACAATTAAACTCACAGTCCAGTGTTTTTGACATTTCATAAATAGCTTTTTTCTCTAAAAAAAGAATAAAACAACAATCCCTTTACTTACTCATCTGAAACAAAATAAACAGCAGTGGGTACAAACTTCTTGTAACAATTACAAAAAACAACAATATAATCCCAACTTTTAACACGCATCTTGAATCAGTTATTTTTTGTAAGCTCAAAACTGCAGCATATCCTTAAGGGCAAACTTTTCGATTAGTTTTTTCTTTTTTTTTTTTTAAATAATGTCTTCACCAAAAAAACAGTCTTGTACCAATAAAATGCATTCAAAAATAGAAAATATTACACAACAAAAATATGTATCCTTCCTTTCCAAAAAAGATTCTTCACAAAAAAATGTAGAAAAAATTCCAACAATTTTTTTCCTCTCCTAAACATTAACTTTCAGTCTAGGGCACAATTATTGATTTAAATGTCTGTTTTTGCATAAAACATGGAAGATGCAAAACATTACTGTATTAGGATTGTGAAGTTACGTCTACTCCCACCCCTGTTCTAAAACAAAACAAAACCCAGAAAAACCCAGCAAACTTTAAACAAATGATGTCAATAGTTAAGAGTAATATCCCTGTCTTTTCTTTCATTGTCATTTGCATGGGTTGACTGGCCCTGCTGATATTGGGGAATGCTGAAGAAGAAAGATCAGGCTGGATTAGGTTTTGGTAATGTCCAGTGAGTCATTTACAGTCCATGTTGTGGAACCACCCATTGCAAATCCTCACAAGAAAAGAAATACAAGAGGAAGCACATGAGCAGTCAGAGGACTGAAGTGTGTCCTTGACACACACACACCTTTACAAATCACTTTCTCAAGCACAAGTGTAAGTATGCATGTGTGTATATTTTATTGTTCCTTCTTAAAATGGAGCTGAAGCCAAGGATAAAAATGGGTGCAGAGCTCCAGTACCAGGAAGGCTGGGATTATTTTCTCTAGTCTCTTCCACACAGATCTGTTTAGGGGTTAATTGGAACAATGGCAAGATCTCTGATAGCAAAACAAAACAAAACAAAAGCCCTATTTTCTCTGCTACCATTGATTCCCAGTCTTTTTATATTTTCAGCATTTTAGCTTAAATTATGTAATTTTTCTTACTGGATGATATTTTATCATGGTGGATGTAGTTTGTGAATGCAGTATGAGGAGATTTAAATGTTTTTTCTGTTGTTTATTTGTTTGCTGGTTTTTTCTTTATGGTGCTTGTTTTGTTTTATTTCTGGTTTTTAAACAGTGAAATGTGTCCAATTTTATTTCCAGTGCATTAAACAAATTTTAAATTAAAAGAATAAAACGTTCCCCCTCATTCTTCTAAAGGAAATGACTGATAAAAGTAAAACATAATAAAATCAGGCATTGCCCAAAATAGCATGATGTGCAATCTCAATTACATCAAAGGAAACAAACAGACAAACAAGAAATTACAGAACATAAGCAAGAAGAAGCCAAGATAATATCAATTATGGTATGATTGGCAAGCACTGGTTAAAAAATAGGTAAGGCTACTCTTAGATTTCTAACTCAACACAGTTAACCACTGCTCTGCTGTCTTTTCTTTCAACTCTTAATCTTTTACTCATTACTTATATCTTTAAAATGAACAAATTTGTTATTATATTTTTGGTCTACAGTACAATTACATATTTATAATATAATAAAAAGATATTTCATTGACAGGTTGGTTCTGCATCCATGTGGGGAAAATAGAAAAAAAGTACTCAAATAGACATAGCAAATGGACTCTATTCTTATAAAAATAACAATAAATGTAATAGAAATTATAATCAGGGCAATAGATTAAAAGAAAATGGGTTTAGAAAGATATATACCTGACAAGAAATACCGCAGAATTGCTGCCTCCAAACCTTTCCCATTATTTTCACCTTTCCATGGCCTTACTCAAAATTCAAATGGAAATGAAAAGAAAAGGAAGAATACAGTAGGAAGTTGCTGAGGCAACCAAAGCTTCCAAATTATGCTAACCAAAGTGTCAAGATCAGCTGAACAGCGTTTGAGAAACTGGCTAGCCACAGGGGAGCTGCTAATAGTACTTGTTTTTAATCTTGGAGGCATTCTCAGCCCACTGATAAAGAGAGAAACCAAGGAACCAAATAGTCTTTCTGGTAGAATCTATGAGATGAAATGCAATTCTGATAGACATGGATTGTGAAGTGAGAAAGAGAAATAGGCCAACTGTGGGCATCACCTCCTTTTGTCTGCTTCCTTTTGTTCTTCTCTGTGTGAGCTTCTTTTAGGATAAGCTACAGACCCCAATGTCTTCTGAGCAAGTATGTGTAAGCTCAGCTGTCCACACGATATCCTCACTTTCTGGCTTCCGCAAGAGTTGAGTGGCCTTGGGGGACTCCTCCACCACCCCCACTGCCCACTGTCATTTGCCCTAGACAAGACAAAGAAGGCACGCACAGTTGTAATAGCAGAGGTTCTTTTACATTAACTATCTCTGACAATTAAATCACACTGATGATTCAGCATTGGAGAAGTGAAGATAAGAATTGCCAAGAATTGAATTTGGTCAGCAACATATGTGAAGTTTTATGTAAAAAGAGAAAAGAATGAAGGAGGGAAGAAGAAGGAGAAAAAAAGAGGAGAAAGAGGAGGAAGAGGAGGAAGAGAAGAAGAAAAAGAGTCCTAAAATACTGCTTTTGGTTTAACTTTAAGTTGTCCTTGGTTTTTCTCTCATTCAGTTGCTCCAGTTTAAAGAAAAGTGTAGACTCTAGTGCAAATATCATCAAATCACAGCATCTAGGAGCAATATCCTATCCTTTCATCCTAAGTAGATACTATCCCTTCAGACCTCCTCAGAAGACTGGGGGCAACGGTCCAGAAAAGCATAACTGAATAAATTACTAGTCTAGTACTTGCTACAACAAGAAAGGCACTATCACGACAGACCAGCCTCCAATATTTTCCTTGCTATGGCATGGGCATTTCACTACTCCAGCAACCACAACAAAACCCAAATTGGGGCTTTTTTGATACTTCAATTTATTGGCCAGCAGTGACTCCCGCATTGGCCACTACTGGTGGCTCTGGCAATGCGAAGCCTTGATCTTCACTGTTAATATGCTTCCCTAATGATGATTTTTACCAGTGATTCCTGCTTTGTACTAAGTGATTTAGTTTACTCTCTTCCATGGAAGTTTTTTTCTCTCCATCAGTCTCTAGGTCATGATTCAGTGTCAAATACTATGATGCATTTTCCTTCCTCTTTTTAAAAACCTTTGGCCAAAACCTAATTCATAAAGACTGTTCAGTACTTCTTTCACATTGACAAGGTCTCCTGTTAATACCACTTTCAACAGAAGGAAAGTGTCATCCTTGATCACCAAAAACAGTTTTCCTTGAGTGTTCTTGCAGAGCTTTTGTCTGGGAGAGGGGAGTTTGGGCTCTGGAGATTAAATTCTTTGGTGACAGAACTTAAGTGGGTATGTAAGATTCAAGGGAAAAGTTCCCCAAAGACTCAGGAGAAGTATGGTTAATGTGGGTATATTTTAAAAGGCCAATTATTTCTTTTTATAGCATTGCTTTGGTGTATTCATGTCCTCTTCAAGCTTACCTGATACACATTTCTAAGTATCTGTTAAAGAGCTCTGAATTTACAGCTTCTTATTTAAAACAGAGATAGTACTTTGCTTAAGAGATTGCTTGTGTTAGTTCTGAAAGCTAAATAAAATTTGTATAATAAACAAGGTGAACAACTTCCTTAAATTTTTTTAACTTGGAATGGTGGATTGGAGGGATCTAAGGAAGAGAAAGTCAGGTATCAAAGTTGTAACCTTAGGAAAGAAGCCTTAACTGAGAATTTTCCAAACTGATGCCCTCACATGTGATAGTGTTTAGAGACATTCAACATGAGCTATCTTTACGGGTTGTGATCCATTTTATTTTCCAAAGCTGTCACCATAGACTCTAGAAGAGTCTTCAGCTTCTTCACTCTTATGTTATTATTCTCTACACAATCATTATTTTTCCCGTGGTGCAAGTTTCTCTTATTAATAGTTACTAAAGAGCCATCAAACTGATTGCTGCTAATATTTAAAAGTTAATAAAAATAAATCTAGCAAAGAAAAGTTAGGAAAACCTCCAACATCAAAACTAAACTTTTAGGCACTGTTAAGGTCTCTGCTTAATAAGATAGTCTAGGAGGGAGCAGCTGGTAGGTTCTGATCCTTCTTCCAATTTTTAAAGTAGCCTGTTTGAAAAATCTTTCACCTTGCTGGTTTTCAATGTTTATTGCACTGTTCCCTCACTGTCATTCTAAAGGACTTTACCACATGTATGGCTTTCCTCTTTGCTTAGCCCAATCTTGTTTCACTCATGGATGGAAAAGTATGCTTAGGTTGAAAGGATATCTCAGTATGGACACGGTTGCATTTGTCTTGAAAAGAGCACACTCCACTGCCCTTTGTCTCACTGAAATGTGTACCAACAAGGGGTTTCCATGGTGAAGACTTTCACATCCTATCAGTTGGCTTCCTCCTTCTCACAACTCTACCAGTTGGAAATGACATTGGGTAACTTTCTTCTTAAGTGTCCTTCACTTGTTGTATTAACCAGCTTCTTTACAATAAGAAAATAGGTTCCATCAGTAATGGCAGTTTCTAAGTTTGATCAAAAGTTGGCAAAGATTCCACAAATTCTCACCAACTCTGCTAAGAGCAAACATGATGAAAATAACCCTTAATTTCTGTGACATCCTAGTTTCATAACTCGCCTCTTTCTTTCCCTTACCTAATACACTCCCTCCCGGCACAAGTAAATACATTTCAGTAGTGCAATGCAGTGCAGGCATACTTAGTGAAAAAAAAAAAAAAAAAAAAAAAAGTCCTCTCACTGACTCAAAGCTGAACCCTATACAGCTCTTACTAATGCCTACCAGTGCTACAAAAGTGGAAAATTCAGTCTGCACCTCACACTACTGTGAGTCATCTCTTTTGTTGCCCATTTGTTTCAGCTCAAAGGACAGAAACAGCTAGCAGGTACCTATGCATTACTCTGTAAAACATTAAGCCAATAGGCAGAAAATAAAGGGAAGTAGTCAAGTTGACAACAAGGGTAATACTTAAAAGAGGAAAACAGCTATTTGATGCAAAGGTCAGTAGTGGTTTATATTTAATAGTTTTCATCATGTCAAATGGCTCTGATACTAAGGGGAAAGGGTACAGAAAAAGATAAAGCTTTTCTGTTTTCCAAAACACGATCCTAAATTTAACAGTGCTGGGCTCTTCTTTTGAATAGTGCAAACAGCTATTCTTCTAGGGCTACAAGCAGCTGCCACCTTACACAAGACAAACAGGTACACTAGGAGTGCTTACTTTTCTACACTGACCACTTTTTACCTCACTTTTTGCCTTTATATTCACTGTTTTCCTAACTACAGACAGATACACATATACATACACATTCATAAAAATTCTCAAGGCCCCTCTCAGAAGATGGATTGAAAATTGGTATAAATAGTTCAAGGATACACTCATGCAAAAAGTATATTTACTAAGTAGAAAAGTGAATTATTATATGAAAATTAAGATTCTGTATTGTTTTTCTTCTTGTATTATTCATTTAGCTAAAAAATTCATAGTGGAATTCCTTATGGAGTTTACTTCTTGCTTAAGGTTAATCTAGCATTAGTTTGGGATATACCACTAGGAGTGATTCCCGAGTTTGGGTGACCCTCAAGAGTTTGTTTCTTCAGTTTTTCTGGATCATTACTCTGCAAATGTAAACCTGCTTCTCTGCTAAGCACTACACACGTATACCAGAAGTTTCAAGAGAACCAGTACCCAGTTTAGAAAAGACTGTGGAAACAAAGAAATTTGGAACAGTGGAGTCAGCATAGTCAAATTAATTTAAAACCAGGTTATCATAAATCTTCTCTATCATCAGCTTCTCATCTCTGTTTGATTAGCCAGCCCCTAATTTCATCTATTCTGAAAACCACAATTCTTTGATAATAGTCCAAAAAATCAATTTTAGATTTTTGCAAGTTATTCTTAATATAGATTGCAACAGATCCCTTCAGAAAACTAAGGTTTGAATCAATGGGACCAAGGAGAAGTTTAGTTGTTGAAAATACCTTTGAAAAATTTTTCCTACAAATCTGTATCTGATTCTAAATCAAGGTTTGTCACAAGGAGAGCAAGAATACAGTTAGCTTTGGTTTTCAAAGGTTTCCCTAGCTATAAATATATTTGAAGCACTGGAGACTACAGTAGGAAAACCTTATCTCAAATTTGAACCATTATATTTAGTTATTTCTCACATGCCTTGTAGAGTAGATTCACAGTAGTCAAGGGTTTCTATAAATTTTTTAGATGAGTCTGGTAACATTCAGAGAAATTTGTATCACAAAGAAGTATATCTTAGAAATATTATAGGGAGAGACAGGTAAGAATGACCAGTGAAGAGTGGTGCCAAGTTTCTCTGGTAACCCTGAGAACAAGCTTTTTGTTCAGGGACTGTATCAAATTCAGTCCCATCACATTGTCCTGTTCCCTTCATTTTTCTCTGTACACTGAATTGAAATTGCAACTATTTTAAAGACTGGACCAAATATGGAAATTACAGCACAAAAGAGTTTCTTTCTCAAGGAACAGTCTTTATCTTTTCTGTCCTCAAAGTGCAGAGAGAATGTCTCTCCTCAAAATTCTCAAGTGCCATTAGAAAAGAAAGAAAATGTTCTCAAGAGAACTCCTTGATGATAGATAGAAGGCCTTTTGTTTTCTAAAGAGGAAAGCTACCATGGGCATGTTATTGGCTGCCCGAGGGCAATATCAAATTAGTCAAAATCTTTACTATCTTGAGGAGAAATAAAGGAAAATAAATCAACAAACAAGTGTTTCTAAAATACTATACCACTAAACTTTACTAAAAGACTTCGCTAAAACAATAAAAAGGTTATCAGGCTCTCTGTAAATTGAGTTGGAAACAGTGTACATTCACATGGAACACTACAATTTCCTTTTTTTCCAGTTTATATGTTGGGCATTCCTGTCCTAGCAGTACAGCATGCATGGGTGGGGTACTGGCAGTGCAAGACTGACCCCGCTCACTGTCACCTCTAGCACCCAGGGACGGGAGATAAGGAGCCACGGGACGGTGGTATCTGTACTTAAGGCCTCATGAAAACAGAAAGTCTTGAAATGAAACAGAAGAAATTCCTACAGTTATAGAAATCTATAATCAACTAATTTTGGCATTTTGGTAGCACCTCTTCTTTTTCTTTTCAGAGTATTTTACCCTAGATATTAATATTAGACACCCAAAGAGAAGTTTAGTCATATTAATTTATTCCCAGCCTTATTCCAAAGAGAATTTGAGAACATAACAAATGGATCTGTAGTATAAAATGCATGACCTTCGTCTGGAATCATTTCTCATTCTTTGGCCCTAGACCTGTTAGTTTAGGTAAACTGGGCTTGTTCCTCAAGGAATACTTTTCATTTTAACTGTTCTATCCTCAAAGTGCAGAGTGAATTTATCTCAAAGCTCTCAAGTGTCATCAGAAAATAAAGATAAGATTTTCATGAAGCACAGTCTGGATGAAAGACCATTTTTTGTAAGAGGAAATTACTATGGGTGGAGTTATTTGACTGCTCACTGACAATATCAAATTAAAAATAAAAATGTTTTACTTTCTTGAGAAAAAAAGAAATAAAAGAAAATAAACAAATCAACAAACATTATTAAAATACGCATTCCTCCAGTTTGAGATTTCTAGAGTTACAGTTATGCTTAAATCAAGGTTTACAGATAGCAAACAACTGTTTTAATGTGTAAAGTATTATCCTCTTCCGTTACTATGTTTCACTTTCTTTGAAGGAATTGCATCTATGCACACTTGTCCTAAAGTCCAGTGCAGAAAATAAACTTGTTTGCTACCAGCCTCAATCTCAGAACATTTCCTAAGCTATATCTGCAAATACTAAAACTACCTAGCTGTAAAATGCAATGCAGGCTTTCTGAAATGCACTGTGGGGTGTGTGGGGGAGAAGCAAGCTTTTTATGGGATAAACAAGGAAAACAATCTTCCTGATCTCCCAAATATACACTATAGTGTTTCTGACCATTATTTTTGCTGCCTTAGTTACTGTTAGGGCTGTTGGTATCCCTGACAGGTGTTGGCTTAGAAAAACAGAAGGCTCATGTGCAGTAAGAAATTCATACCCTGGAGCTTCTAGAATATTAAACAGGATTTAGACATTAATCTGTGACTAATACAAAGATTTTGATGAGAAACCCTGGGTCTCGGGATGGAACTCTTCTTGAGGAACTGAAGGCAGCATTGTGAAGGAGGCAGCTTGGATTTAGGGGGCCAAAAGAGATCTATCAGAACCAGATCATCTCCTACTCCACATTATACTTTAAATTACAGTGTTTAAGGTTGAAAAGAGTCACTTATTCCTGCCAAAGCCAATGCCAGAGGGAAAGAGCATTTTAAAGAGCATTTGAAAAACAGAGAGCAGGATTCAGAATGGATAAAGGAAGAGAAGGAGATAGGACTCACCAGGAGAAAACGCCAAGTGAAGGTCACAGGCTTAAGCAATTTAAATACTGGCTGTAAGAAACTTGGTTTCCTGTTAGACATACGTCTAAGGAAGGATTTTGAACCTTCTGTTTATCTCACTGCTGTCTATGGTGTGAATTGATGTTACAAATTGCTCTGAATAAGACAAAACCTGGGGCAAGCGCAAGTCAAATAAGGACACATTTCTGATATTAAATGCTGATTGCTTATCATTAGGTAAAGCGCAATTGAAAGAATTCCCCACTGTGCACTCAAAACCAGGCGGTGGGCTAAATGTCAGAGAGTCTGTCTTTATGTGAGCATACAGGCAATGTGGTGTCATGGCATGTGCCTTGGACCAGGAGTCACAAAGACTCTGCTACCGGGTGATTGCAAAGATGGTACTACATGCATCTTAAAGGGATGCACTAAGAATGACCGTAGTGTTCTGGGCAATCCCCTGGAGACGAGACATTTCTAATTCATAGGAATGAAACCTAGCAATATGACCAAATTATATGCTTAATATTTAAGCACTGGGCAGTGTATCATCTAGCCACATCATTTTCTTAAAGCACACTTGAAGTGTATGTCTAAGCAATCTCTGGTTGCAAATAAATATTTGTGAAATTTTAGATTTTTTTCATTCCTTAGTAAATTACCAAAGTTCCAGACCAAATGATAAATATGTATTTTTTCAGAAATATAATAAATGAATAAATATTTCCTAGTATAATGCATTTAAACAGAAGTAGTTTTAATTGTTTGAGAAGCAGTCACTAAGGCATTAATAGTTATCAAAATTAGTTTGAAATGTTCCCCCTTTCTCTAGATTCCTGTAAATCTAGTGCAGTATCTGGTTAACATGTCATTTGATTAAATACCAGTGGAGTTGAAACAGTCAACATTAGCGATTTTTTCCCTTTCAGAAATGATCCACTTATATCAAGAATTTGGAAAGTGTGGTATTTACAAAAAGTGTACACTACTTTTTTCTTTATCTTTGGCCAGATGTGAAGGTGAGAGGAATTAATGATCTCAGCTAGTATAGTTGACATTTAAAACCGTGACTCAGGTCCTCCTACTCTGAAAACTATATTGACAACTTCTAAAATCTGAAGTTGGAATGAAGACATGCTTTATTTTGCCTGTGAGTCTCAAGTTTATGAACTCATTTCAAGAAGGACATTCAGAGTAGGTTGGGGAAGGAAAAGAAATGAACAGTCAAGCGTATATTAAAATTTTGGGGGTGGTGATGACATGACTGGGAAATTCAAAGTAATCTTAAAGAGAATAAAAAGAGCTGGCCAGGAAAAAGGAGAAGGAAAATAACGGCGGTGACATAATTCAGATAGTACCTGTATGTGACCACTAAAGAAAGAACAGCCTCACTAATACTGAACTCGGAATCAAGTCTGTCTGCTGTGAGACCCAACATTACCACCTTCAACACAGATTAAGAAAGGGCAGCTCCTTAATGAGTGCCAGGCATCAGTGGAAGATACTGAGGCAAAACTGGGTGGTTTGGGGACCAAGACACGCTGGACAGGTACAGTAGAATGTGATGAGATTAGAAATACAGATTTATGAGGGACGCTGGAAGGAAAGAATTGGAGTATTTACACTGAGAAGCCTTAATATTGGCCCAGTGGGGGAAGGTCTTTTACACTGAATTTTATAAGAAGCTATTCTTGTTTTTTTTTTTTTTTATTGAAAATAGGATAGAGTGAGACTGATTTTAGGAACTTAGGACAGAGAAAGAGTTGATCCAACTCTGACATTGCAGGCATTAGATTGGACAGCTGAGGGAAGCTGAAGAAACTCTGTGTGAAAGATACTAACTGAAAATATTTCTTGTATAGGAGGAAGACATGATGCCCTATTTTTGAGAGTTTCATTGTTGTTTGGTTAAAGAAGATAGGCATCAAATCCCCATTCTAGCAGGCAAGTGGGTACTGAGGGCCAGATACCCAATAGCCACCAGTTAAGGATACTGCAGACTGAAAAATGTTATGTATATTTCTGAGTTTTATTTCTGTTCTTCTTCGTCAATAAAAAGCTCCTCAAAGTCTGGTTCTAGTACAAGACAAGTCCCCTGGGAAAATGAACCTTATATTGCCAAGCTGCCTCCAGGGAAATGTTGCCTAGTTAAAATAACTGTAAGCATACTGAAAACAGAAAGTAGTCAGTAAAGAATCAGTATTTAAAATTCAATGTTTGAAATACAGTTGAGACAACTAGGCATTTTACTGTTTTATGTTTCTTACAAAAACAGCCCTTTGAAAAGAAGACTATGATAGTTTGGTCAGATCACGTGGAAGTTAAGCAGCTCCTTGGTCGTATTTTTAAGCAAATATTGACAATGACAGTGCTAGAGGGGAAAATCACAGATACATTCATATGCACTTCTTTTGTTCTTCAGATATTGACAGGGTCAGCTAAACAAGATCACTTTGAACACGAACCTTTTTGTATTAGCCACACCAAGAAAAAAAAAGTTAAAAAAGTTTTCACTTTCCTACATTTGCTAAGTCTGAGTTAAAAAAAAAAAAATCCTAAAATCCTGTTAAGACAATACTGAAGCTGATAATGTGAAAAAGCAAACTAGAGCAGTAATAATTATTATCAAATGCACCAGATTAACTGCAGCAGGTTGGTGATGGGTGATATATGCAAAAAACATTTCAATCAGTTCATGATCATAGGCAGATTCAAAAGTTAAAATGAATATAATGCAATATATATTTCAATATAGAGTTGTTATATATAATGTGTATGTTCTAGATTTCAGAAATACTGCAATGTAGTGTACTGTACTTAAGTAAGCATACCTAAATAGTAACTCATATTCTTCTACAAAGTTACTAGTACTTTTAATTATAAAAAAACAAAGCTCATTTTTTCCAGTAAAAAGAAATACCTATGTTTACAGTCACAGACTTTTTTGGGATATAGAAAGACAATATACATTTTTAAAAATAGTAACAAAGAGGTTGCAACTGTAAGTAGCCTTACTTAACAAAGGGATGGGGAATCGCCAAAATAGACAAGGAAAAAAAAGTGTTCTCTGAATTTTGTAAAGCAGAAAGGATTTACATGTCATAAAAATACTAAACCATCTAGTAAGTCATGGAAGTGAGAAAACTGAGTCTATTTCCAGGCCACCAAGCCATCAAGAGTCAGCTACGAGAGCCACGTCAATTCACTCAGTATCTCACACTAGAGTGAAACTGTGCTGAAAGATGGGCCAGAGACAGCAATTCTTGGACATTCCCCCAAATATTCCCACACCAGTCTGTTGGTTTGCTAGACACAGTAAACAACCCAATCCTGGAAAGACTTCGGCAAAGGCCACATTGGTTTTAGGAGACACAGTTTGAGAATGACAAAGTACTGCAGGTGTAGAGACCATCAGAAAGCTTTTGTTTGGGACTAAAACTCACATGTGGGTTCCTGTGTTTGAGTGTGTATATACACAGTGTTTCAGAGAGAAAAGGAATAGAAGCATTTGAGCCATGGGACAGCTCAAGCCACTGTTTGGGCCTTGTCTGCTTGGCCTTGGGGCCCCTCCTGCTCAGAAGACTTGGGGAAGTTTCCTAGATTTCTACTCCCTGAAGTCTGTTCCCAGTTGATTATTTGTATTTCATTTTTTTTCTGGAGCAAAGCTGCCTGTATCTGTCGATGTGCTGTGGAGCCAACAAGCTTCGTTTCTTTCAACTCTAAAATACTACAAAAAGCAATTGAATGGGCAGATGACTTACTGGGAAGGGAGCCACAAGTCTGAGCACAATGGTAGGGATGAGGCAACTGCATCTGTGCACCAGGACCTCTGCCTGTGTGTGCTTCCTTTGCTAGGCACACACATGCCCAAATGACAAAAAGTATACACAAAAACACACATGTGCACACATATCAACAAGTCCAATAGAAGTATATCATTTGTTCAAGTTACTTCTCATCAAAGAGAGATAAATGACTGAGGGTTGGGCTCCTTCAGAATACCCTAAAGCCTCATCATAGAGACTGATGCACCGCATAAGGCAGCAGAGCAGAAGCAGGTATGTGAGATATGTCAGACTTTGACTTCTAACAAGAAGTTCTGAAAACTATCTTGTTGTCACTAGGGAATATGAATATGGAAAATTCTTGTACTAAGAGCACCTCGTACTGTGTGTACACATGCATAATGTACACTAATTACAGAATTCTGGACAGCAGCTGTGACACACTGGATGGGATAAGACCCTTTCATCACTAAATATCTACATATCAATTACAATGATGTTGCTGGGCAGTAACAATGGCTGCAACAGTAGTAGAAACAGATGTCTCCTGTGGGATTGATTTTTTTCCTTCTGTCCTGGGTGTGTCAGAATTTCATTAAGGCATTCTGAGCCAAGAAACTTATGTTTGAAAGAAAATGAGTAGGGACTCTCATATCCTATTAGGTACCCCAGAAGCTGATTGTGAGTATATTTTCATTATGACCTGCAGATTGTGACCCTTCACTGAGGACCTGAAAGTTCTAAGTTTTACATTTAAACAAAGAGCCACCAGATAAACCAGATGCACTCCAAAACTGAGAAAAGAGGTTTAGCGATGTGAGTTAAGAAAGCTTTTGGTTGGGATTGCTCTCTCTGCTAAGGAAAAGCATGGCATGCTAGGCAGCTGTTACTGTTTTATGAGATTCACTATTTAGCAATACGATATCTATTATTTTATAGTCACCTCAGACCTATCAACAAAATAGAATAGACAGGAAATAGCAGCCACTTCCTGAAGCACCCAGTGTTGGACAAGTTTGATGTCTCCCCAAGAAGTCACTATTTCTACAATCCTACAAATACAGCTTATTTCTGTGATAATGCAACTATTAGAAAGCCAGAAATGTCCATATCATCCCAATCTTCCAATTTCTGTATCTTCTGTCCTAGACTTTCCAATTTAAGGCAGTAATTTTATGCTGTAGTGGCTTCTCATAATAATCCCTTAACTGAAGTCAAGTGAGAATAGATTTCACTGTGAAAGTGTTACCTCTCTGGAGCAACCGGTGGAGCCTGAAGACCCCACCGGCATGCACATTGTTTCAGTTAGTAGTGTGCAAAGATGATGATGGTTCTTGATTTAGCCAGGGCATTTTACCCTTCCACTCAGTGAAGAGGAAATAATTCTGAGAAAGAGCTTGTACTATTTAGCCCTTATCCTCTACCTTTTCATCTTACAAAGAATAGAAACAAACCCTACTGTTCAACAACTGCATCCTAGGATCTGCTAATGCACATCGCTGACTGTAGGGCATGCAAGGAGAAAAAAAAATCTATAGAAACTTCGAAAGATCTTTAGGGTACTTTAGTCAGGTGGATCATCTTAATATTCTGTGTTAGAAACGATGCTTTGGATTAGTAAGTTGCACATCTTGTGTTTATTGGAATTTGGAGCGGCTGTAGCCTTTCCTCTTTTGGGGGTTTAAGTGGTATCAGCAATCACTCTACACAGAAAGCCCTTAGGAATATGAGAATGTTCTCTCTCAAGTGCAAAAGCTCTTTTGTGTCCCATTTCTGCCTTCTCAGACAGCCTGAGCGCCAGGACAGAGATTGCTTTTGAAATTTTGCCTCACATAATCTATTTTCTGGGTATCTAAGAGAACAGCCCTTTTCTTTAAGAAAACACAGAGAGGAGAAAGAGGTTGTCGTGGTCCCAGTGGGGAAATTATGTCTAGCTTTAGAAAGCTCTGGGGGTTGGGCCAGCTCAAGCACTCTTTCCACTCACTGCAGACTGAGAGTCTGGAGCTCAGAGGCATTGGGTTGCTTTGCTTTTTCTGTGGAATTAAGGAGTCTATTGAAATTCTAGTGCACCCTTCCTTTTGTTTGTCACCAAGTCACATGGTTCTGTCTTTAATGTCCTATTTCTCCCCCTCCCTTTTTAAAAAAATGTCTTTCTCTGGGGGACAAAATTGGCCATTTAAATAAAGTTCTTTTCTAGCAATTAAAGAGATTTCTCAGAGCCAGAAATCACTCAAAAGAAAGTTTGTCCACCCTGCCTATGGAAAGCCTAGAGATTTTTCTGAATACCTCTTGCCAAGCTCCCTAGTTTTGCTATTGGATGTTTTCTGGTGTAGCATTGTTAGATGCTGAATACATTTTACGATTCTTTTATCATCTTCCCCAGAGCTTCCATTACCCAGGACTTCAACTCATTACTAAATTAAAGAATTCTTTTAGAAGATTTTTTAAAGAGTAAAGTCACAACAGAAAGGGCGCCCTCCTGTTCTCACTCCCCAGGCTATCTCAGGTTGTGTTTGCTCTTACCCTGCACAGTCCTTTTGTTCCCTTGGCTGCAGCATTACACTGGCGACAGCAGAGCCAGTTCTGATGGGATCATCTGATACCTTTTCTGCGGTCATATATCCCCCTGCATCAAGCCTCATCTAATTAAATAATGTCTTTAATAACAGCAGAAGAAAGCTCCAAGATGAACATATCTAGGGTGAATTCTGGCCAGTTTGACTTTATTTCCTCTTTTCCTAAAGGCCCCAACCAGGAAGCAACTGGAGTCTTTAATTATGTTTTCTTGTAGATCTGAGGTACTTTATACAGGACACATTTCATTTTAAACTCTGTGCTTAGGAAAAAACACTGACTTGGGGGCATAAGCAGGGCATATACTGCTGGTGGTTTTGGATAAAGAGAGTAGGAGTAGATTAAAATGTTAGGACTAACAACCATCTCCAGAGGAAACCTTTTCATTTTTCATTATCAGAATGCAGAAATTCTCCCTGCATTGGAGAATATCGTGAGTTGGAATAGGATTTTTTTGGTCCTTGTAGAATATTTTGATACAAAATAAAACCTCTGTGAGTCTTAAAGCAAACTCAAGTCTTTCTAAGGCCAACATTTACAGTGACCTCTTTCATGACTAGAAAGGAATGGGTAGATATGGACCATAAGCTGGGAATTACCCACAACACTTGCTCATACACCAAAAGACTCAAGGCATCTGGGGAAGGAAAAGTTTATAAAATTTTTAAGGGGAAAAATTTACAACTCAAAATAGGTAGTAGTAAAAAATATTTTGATATAAAGGATTTCATTTCAATTTTTTGAGAGGGGTTGGCTGATTTCTTAATCCTTCTCCATTACATATCGGTATCAGATCTGTGTGTTCTAATTTGTTGTTTTATAGGCCTATATTTTACACAAACATTGGCATTTAATATGGAAAAATACCCAGTGCGTTGAGACATTATCAATGTTTAATATTAGGAAATTTTCTTTATCACAAATGGTATCTAAATGTGTTCAGATAAATGCTCCTCTTTGACTCTTTTCCCTTCTCTGCTTAGTGAATTCCTTTTTAAATCATAAATTGCTTTAAAAATGTTCTTTCCCACACCAGTTCTTGTTCCCTAAGAGGTCTTAAATCTGGAACATCTGCTTTCATCTTATCTTTTTCCTAGCTATTAAAAAAGAAGTTTTAAAAAGCACCAGTAACATACTAGCATGAAGGTCTAAATGTAAAAACTGTAGAATTTGAAACCAAAAAAGAATCCATACTCATTTTCTGATCTTGAGGCAAAAAGTTTTGTTATTTCTTAAGATATCTGTGGTTGTTTAGGTGTACAAGGGTGGACAAGATTGGCAGTCTGAAAGCATCTATATCCTTTTGAAACAGGTAAGGATGAGTTCATTTTCTAAATGTGAGTTGGTATGTAAAGAAGCCTGTCAGAGCCAGTTTTATAATAGACCCATACCACCTTTTCTGCTTCCCTAGATGAGCTCCAACTCTAATTTGAGTTCCAACTCTTAACTTAGCTTCTTCCTGTTTCCAAAAAATAATCTGCCGACTTATTTACACTGTGAGATGTTTGGAAGGAATAAAACTTATAGAAGAGTAAGTCCACCGCCAGCCAAACCAGATAATCTATTTGATAACTGGCTAGTGATCATATACCTCATCATAAGTTCTTTAGGAACCCCTATCTTATTAAAAAAGAGATAATGCTTTATAGGAAAAGAATGAACTTCAGAGTTGCTAGTCATCTGGAAGTTTTCTTCTGTCTTCTACATGTTCCATGACAAAAGTGAATTTCAACCCAGTTGCTTAGCTTTTTGACAATGGCAAATCATTAAGACAAAATAGGTCTCCTTCAGCTGTCAGAAGCAGACAGTTGCCCAAATGACCCTCAAGATCAACTATTCTGGAAGTACTACGAATTCTGTCTAGTTGCTAAGGTCTGAATAAAGAACTATTTTAAATGCACTATTGCCACACAGTCGAAAATATTTTAAAGTGGCATTGGGATTTTTAAATTGATAATATATGCTGAGTTATTTCATATCATTTTCTTCTATTTTTTTTCTCAGTGTCAATCTTTTTTAATTTAAAGGCTGAATAGGTTGTTTTTCAAAGTATCACAATAGTCCATTACAAAATTACTTAATGCTCCCTCTATTGGTGGTAAGTGTAAATACTAGTCAACACACTGTAAAAAGCAAAATTAGCAATAGAAAATTGGAGATTTTGCATCTCTGAAGTGATTTCTCAACGACTTTTAGAACAAGTGAATTTTGGATATTCAGTTCTTGATGAGACTCTTCTAGAAGTCACAATGAGGTGATACTTAATAGTTTATCATCAAAGTCTACATTAAAACTTCTAGCAAAATATTCACTGAATTAAGTACTGCAGGACAGATGAAGTCACAAATATTCCAGTTGCACAAACTACTAAACATCACAAAGAACTTATGGAAAAGATCCAAGTTAACCAATGTCTTCTGAAACATGCATAAAATCAATTTAGTCATCATAGAGTTGCTTGCTTTGGAAGATTTCCCCTCATTTGCTACATGCTTTTGGTAAATAAAATGTTAACATGAAAATTAGAAGGAAAATTAATATGTAGAGTAATTTTTGAAAGTAAAATATTCTCTCTTTTCTCTGTTTTTAAGTCTATAGTTTGGTGTTTCTGCCTTGTTTAAGATTTACTTTTCCCTTAAGGGTATTAAAATATACCCCATAGTGAAATCACTTCAGGGTTATAACATGAAAAACTTCTAGTTTTGAGTTAGAATCCTTTTAGGGCACTGTCTACAATGGAAAAGTATTACGATTTCTTGATCAGGACCGAGGAGAGAAATCCCAGCTAGGAAGAGAGAGCGACATCTGGCATGATGTAACACATTGGTGGCCTTTTGAGTGGTGGATGTTGGCATCAAGGAAATTGCTAATTTCCAAAGACCTTCCCAAAAAGCAAGGATTAATAAATCATATACAGAATGAACATCTCACTTAGTCCACTTAGCCATGGTGGAAAGAGTCAGAAGATGATATGTGAGAGAAAAAGTAATTTTGGCATCAGCGCATTATGGTTTGTAACAGGCTTCGCACAATGATGCTCATAGGCTTGTGAAGGGTGAGGAGGTGTGGCAGAGTCCTGTGGAGCCCTCCTCCTGGCTGACCACTAAAGAAATAAACCCATTTGTCAAGACCTGTAGACGACTAGTGTTTCATTAAAGACAAAAAACAAAGTCAACAAAAATTCTAGAATCAGAAGAGTGCAATGACATTTTGAAGAAGAAGTCTGCTTCTGAAAGATAAAGTAAGTCCCTTCCATGTAAAAGAAAAGAATCCTAGACGGATTGGTGAAAAAAATACTCAGTGGAGCAACTTAAGCTTGCTAAAAGTCCAGGAACTACATATCAAAATACAAAGCAGCAGTTCAAATTACAGCAGGGATGGGTGGCCACAGAGGCCCTCATCAACCCAGGCAATACTTAAAATAATAAAAATTAAGAAAAATTTTAAAATGAAGAAAATAACCTTCCTCTCTTTCAAATATAACTTTAGTTGCTCTTTATTCTCTCTGTCTGGAAGCAGTATTGCTAACCTTAACAGTCCTGACTTACCAAAAAATATATATATATATATATATGTGAAACAAAATAAAAGAGAAGGGATTGGTGGCAGTGTATGCAAAACCAAAATGAAAAAAAAATTACTTTTAACAATCTCATTTTTTTGTTTTTTTTTTTACACAAATACTGTTGTAAATATATTAAAAAAATCAGCGTTCTATCTGGTAAATGTCACTTTTGCCCCCTATAAAATTTTGAATTAAAAAAGCCTCAAGAACTTATTGTTCCCCCCACCCTCCATTTCTTTCTTTTTCTCTTCCACAAGAATATATCCTGACACTTTTTTTGCAAAGATTGTTGGAAATAATCCTCTTGTACCTAGAAACATAGGTGCAAATATCTGATATCTTTGTTTTATCTGCATTCCTGCCTTTCATGAAAGTCCCTCCTGATTGTGCCGAGGCTGTGGCCCAGCGAAGACACTGAATAAATACGTTTAGCCACTGTTGCTTGTTGCTTTTCCAAGTCTTCCTGGTTTCTGCTGAAAGGGGGGACATGGAGGAGGTGAGCCAGGGTGTGTGGAGTCAGGCAGAATCTCGGGGAGAAGCCCGCCGTCCCCCTTTTCCCACACCACTGACCCCCCTGCTCCCTCCTACCCTCCCAGCCCTTTTATGAAATCAGACAACGTGGTAGGTGGAAAACAGCAGGGCCTTTCCTCTGGGTTTTCACCAGAAGTGATATTCCACAGTTATAACTGGTTACTGTGAAGTCCAAGCGGCCAGAATTGTGAAAATGTCCATGGAAACACTGCAAGCGGTGTACTTAAAGACAGTAGGCCTTTTAGATTTTGTTATATATTTTGTAGTGCTCTTCACAAGTGGAAAATTTTTTTCTTTTTTTTCTTTTTTTCTTTTTTTTTTTTCTTTTTTACTTTTTAAAAAGATTTTTTTTTTTTTTGTAAAGAAGGGTTGTATTTAGAGGCCAGTAGCCAGAGATCCAACCAGTGGATCTCCTGAAGCACTACCAGGCCTTAAGGCCACCATCCGAGGGAGACTGGGAAAACTATTATTCACCCAGGTCTCCAGAAATGTAATGTACCAGCAGGCAAAAAACAGTTCTTCATGTAGTACAAAATGAAACGAAACAAAAACAAAACAGAAAGTAAAAACGAAATCAAAACATTTCTTAAATTCTAGTGCCATAGCTTTGTTTGTTTCTTTTTCTGTTGTTTTGTTCATAAGAAAGAAAGATACTACTTATCCGTCAGACACATGCATCCTCATGTGGTCGTTGAACTGCTCAATTTGGTCAAACTTTGCTGGGCAGACGGAGCAGACGTAAGTGGTCCCCTCCGTGCAGGCCACCACGCCCGGGGGCCCAGCGCGGGCACCCGGGGGTGTGCCTGCGGGAGGGGTCCCGTTGCTGGCGCTGTGCAGGGCCACATGTCGTTCCAGGAGGGTCTTGTGGGAGAACTTCTTTTTGCAGATGTAACACTCGTAGGACTTCTCCCCCCGGTGGAGGCGCATGTGCACATTGAGGGAGCTCTTCTGGGTGAAGCGCTTGTTGCAGATGCTGCACTGGTACGCCCTCACGCCTGTGTGCGTCACCATGTGCTTGATAAGGTAATCCTTTAAGGAGAAGGATCGCCAGCAGATGCTGCATTGGTGGGGCTTCTCACCTGTTGATGTGGGGAGAGACAGCAAGCAGGACAGAGGGAGACACAGCCGAGGTGGGGAAATGAAAGACAGAAAAACGAGACAACAAAAAAGAAAAACAAAAGAATTTTAAAAATAAAATCTGATTGTTGAATGGATCATATTTGATTGGAAAATTCCAGGCCTTCCTGCCCGTTCATGCTTTAAGGGATTCCAGGATAGTCTAGAGTTTTCCACATGCCAAAAATGGCTATCTGGAAAACTACATGGTCTCCCCCACTAAAAGTCTTTAAAGATCACAGTGTGGAGAAAAGGGAGGCCTACTCTTTCAGGAAGTCATTTTCAGTATCTTCACTAGGGATTAAATTGCTTCCCATTAACAGTGTCAAACAAATACAGGAAACAATAGTTCTTTAGAGAAACAAGCTTCTTTTGAATCTGTGGGGATTAGGAATATTGGTCATCTGGGCTTGGTTCTTTTGGGCAAGTCCTACTTTCCACTTACTATTTCGCTTAGTAAATGTATTTATTATAATTCTGAGTCTGGAAGATATTTGCTAACATAGAAATCATTCTGAGGAGCTATGCTTTTTCAATTTTATAGATTTTTAGGGAGAAATCTTCCTTAAATGTAATCCGAGTTAACCGACTATTTTGTATGGAGTGTAGCAAGCTGTAGATCGGCTTTCTAGGTGTGAAAGTTGAATAGGTGGTAGATAACATACTGGTCTCCAAATCGAATGATGCTATTCAAATTTAGGCAGCAACACACTATATCACTAAGACAAATCACCAAATGGCTCTGAGGTATAGAATACTACTTACTTCACTGTGCTGATGTTGATGGAAAATACATATGAAATCACTTTGCAGACCACCAAGGGTGATGTGGGAATGCTTGCATGTTATTATTACAAGGCCATCCCCCCATTAAATGGTACCATATGCTTTTTAAACTTAGGTCAGTGTCTAAAATAGTTATTCTCTTTTTTTTCTTAGCCTTTTTTTTTTCTCTCTTCATTTACTGCTGTGATTTGCCATTGGCTTAGGAACCAAATGATCAAGCTAGTTAAAAATAGTAAAGTAAGTAATATTTCTCAGTTACTGAATTACAACATGACGATTCTTCTATAAGGCAAGTTCATGGATCAATGACATCTCTGTGGATAGTTAAACACTTGTTTGTGTTTGTATTGTTTGTTCTCAGTTTCTGTTGTTCTGTGCTTGATAGGTGAGATGAACTACATTAAAGTATTGATACTTCTCTCCCATTTAGTTGTTGTTGTGTTTTCAAATGTAAAAGGATTTGTTTAGAGATTTACTGATGGAATGATATGATGCACAGGATCGCAGGGGTTAGATGAGAATAATACTCATTTTAGCTCAGTGTTAGACTAAAATAGAAGAAGTTAGAAAAGGAACATCGCTAATAATCTCAGTTTGCTGCAGAGCTCAGCCTATGCATAATGTTTACTTTGGTAATTTTTTTTTGAAATGAGAGATTCCCTGAGAGAGACAGTCATGTGTGTTATTTTTAGTTAAAACATTTCTGTCAGCTGTAAACATGCTTGGAACTCAGCTGGTCTTTGCTATCCTTGTGCTTTCAGTACAATTTATAGTGGCTATGATAGGCGGCCAAACAGCTTTTAAAACACGTCCACCTGTCACCTTTAGTGGGAAGCATGCCTTAAATTCCAGATGGTATTTTGGCTGCTAGAAAGTTGAAACTTTGTCTGTGCTCAATGTTCTTGCTATTTGAAACTTTCACCTTGTGCTTTTCCCAAGGCAAGGTCACTGACAAAGGCCATTTACTTTCACACCCTTCTCATCTGACTATAAATTAATTTTTCACAGTTTTCATTTTTCTCTCAATAGCATATATATGGATGCTGTTTGTATGCATGCAGTATCAGTTCTGCCATTAAGTATTTGTGTGACCCTGGGCTTTTTAAGTGCTTTCAGCTCTCTAGGTGTTTTGCTTTCTGTAAGGGAGGAGTTGTACCAAGCACTTGCCATGGCCTTTTGTACATTTGCTGGTCTTCTGCTCCAAGTGGCCCACAAGGCCAGAGGACTCTACTTTTGGCCTTGCCAGCAAATGACCTGAGGGCAACCTGCTCAATTACTCAATGCATTAGCAGTTCCACATTTTAAGTAGGACAACATATCCTGTTCCCTTCCATGCCACAGAAAAGTGGTATGCTAGCTAATGAGGAAAAATGTTTGCAAAGCACTGGGGAGCTCCTTGAAGGAAGGTGCTCTCTATAATTATTCAGACACTGTGATGGAGTGTGGACAGTTTAGGAACTGTTTAGTTAAACAAGGTATTATTTTCAGATTTCTCAAGTGTCCACAATTTTCCTTTCTAAATGTATGGATTTGGAGCAATATCACTCGTATGGAATGTTACTCTTTTTTCTATCGGATTTTCCTGCCTATTTCTTATAAGGGATATAGAAACTATAAATGAAATGGACACAGTCTGTTGATTGTTGCTATCCAAGTGAAGAAAGGAAAAGTGAAGATAAATATCATCAGACAGCTTTCTGGGTTTGAGCCTAGGGTCAGAAATAAGAAGACTCACTTGTCACAAAGGGATACCAGAAGCAAGGTGGATACTTAAATTGTAACATTAAGGGCAAATTCATGTGAATCCCTTTACTTTAAAGTGATCCATTTTGGGTCTATAAAGATGTAGAAATCAGATACGAATTCTATTTCCTTGGCTGAGTGAGTTAGGCAAGTTATTTAACCTCTCTTATCCTCAGTTTCCCTATCTATAGGAAATAATACATAAGTACTTTTCTTGTGACATTGCTTTGAAAAATAAAGAGAAAAAGCACTTAGTATAGAACATGTGATCTTTTTAAGGAAAACTAAACTATTTCCCTCAACACAAAGGAATTGAAGATACATGAAATCAACTAGAGATGACTTATCTGGCATAGGGGATCCAATCCAGAATTTTAAAAAGTTGCTCCAGGTAATCAATAAAGCAAACAAGTACATAGCAGCTGTATAATTCATAGCTAAGAGTATAGTCCTTATAGTCTATTCAATAGTCTGTTAATTATCTATGCTAATGAAATAAGTGGTATCATGAATAAGATGTTAACAGACAGAATAGACAGAGGATTTCTTATCAAGCAGTCACTGGAATACCGGAGGCAGAGAAACTAAACAGCAGGTGAAGAACAACCGAGGGGAAAGGTAGTGGCCTTTCCTGCCTTGTCAAGGGCAGCGAAGGGGTGAAAGTGTGTGTTTTCCTCCATTTTTCAGTGCTCTCCCTTCAACTCCTTCATTGACCAGCTCTGATATTTCCTCTGCTGTGACTGAGAAGTGAAAAAACAAACAAACAAAGCAACAACAACAACAAAAATGGAGAAAGATGCTGCTTAAGTTAGAAGATGCAGAGGCTTCTCCTCAAACCTCACATTCCAGCCACAGCCACTGTAATGGGCTAAGAAATCCTGATGCTGAAGTGTGACTTTTGTATTTCAGGCTTAGCAAGAATTCACTTATTTTCCTGATTCTTCCTCCTTCTAGCTAGGCTCTCTCTGGGCTGCAGAAAGAACAGTGAATGTTATTATCTGGCCATGTTCAGAAGGCCCTTCCTTCCGGCCTCTCCTGCTCCCCCTGCCTCTCTGTCCTCTGTTGTAGCATAATAGTGACAGTGAGAGGTCGAAAAGCCAAGACAGGGTGCTCAGTGATGCAGTAAGTAGCAGTATGAAAAAGAAAGTGGAGAGCTGAGGTGTCCTGGAATGTGCAGAACAGAACCTCTGAATGAGAAAAATCAAGATGAGACCAGAAAGTGAGAAAGGTGCAGTGTCATCAATGGAAGCGTGCTCACAGGAAATTGTATGGAGTGGCCACTGGCTGAAGAGCTTCGTCTACAGAGAGCTGAGGTCTGAGGAGGGCCCACGCCCCTCAGATACAGTTGGCATGATCACCTGCCAACCTGTCTGGCCCATTCTTGGTGACTGGCTGGGAGAGACTGCCTACTAGGGACACCTGCAATGACAAAACATCTGTGGCTTCAGTGAAACTAAAATGTTTTGGTGGTAAGGAGAATTCCAGGGGGGAGATGTAACTCAGCAGCACAGTGCCTGCCTGGCAAGAGCTCGAGTCCAACCCAATCCCCGGTATCAAAGAGAGAGAGAGAGAGAGAGAGAGAGAGAGAGAGAGAGAGAGAGAGAGAGAGAGAGAAGAGAGAGAGAGAGAGAGAGACAGAGAGACACACAGAGAGAGAGAGAGAGACGAGAGAGAGACGAGAGAGAGAGACAGAGAGAGAGAGACAGAGAGAGAGAGAGAGAGAGAGACAGAGACAGAGAATTCTGAAGATCTCAAGGAACATCATCCGTATTACATACTCTCTTTTTTGGGGGAGAGAGTGTTACCAGGAATTGAAGTCAGGATCTTGCACTGCCCAGGCAGGCACTGTGCCACTGAGTTATATTCCGGGACCTACCCTCTCTTACAAATTTACGCTTGGGTTAGATATTAATATCTGCAGAAAATAACGTCTACATCCCCAAAATCAATAATAGGTAAGTGTGAGATACTAGTCAAGATGGGTATGATGATACATGCCCATAATCCCAGCACTGTGAGAGGCAGAAGTAGAAAGACTGCAAATTCGAGGCCTGTCTATGCAATTCAGCAACTTTTGGAGACCCTGGCTCAATCAGTAAACAATAGAAAAAAGAAAAAAAAAAGAAAGGAAAGAAGGGGATGTAGTTCATTGTGAGCTCTGGCTCGATTCCCGGTACTGGGAAAAAGAAGACCCTACCCCAGTCAGATGGCTTCCCCTCCCTTGTCAGCAAACAAGTTCTTGCTTTCTACATCACACAATGTATGACGCCACTATAACATCTGTAATACATATATTCCTAATGGCTTTGATAGTTTTACAGCACTTATACTTAAGTGCTTTCACATAAATTACTTAATTCTCAGAGCAACCATATAAAATAAATACTCTTAAGATCTTCAAAACTGAGGCTCAGGTTGAACCCAGAAAGAACTTCCTCTAATCACTCCTCAGTCCCAAAGTGGTAAACGGAGGCTTTGCTTCCAGCGTCACGCTCGTTCCCTTGTCCTCACTGTCTTAACAGCACTAATAGTCCAAGCTCCATCCGCAGACTATCACACTGTCTCGGCGTCACCTTTGCTGTTATGTTACTGCTGTATCTATTTATATTGAATTCACGGCTGAAATACCTGAGCTTCTTCAAGTAATAAGCAAAATTACCTTATGTGCAAAGGATATCAATGGGCTAAAAACAGTCACCAATGGTTGGGTTGATAGCACGATTTAGAAAAAAGCCAATGTATTTACCTTTTGTTGGTGAAAAAAATGTAAGTGGAAAAACAGAAATATGTATAATATATTCTCTAGCTAGTTAAAAGAAAGAGAGAAAGAAAGAAGTCTAAAAGTCTTGCTGAGAAAAGAATGCATTTATGTATAAATTCCTTGAATTAAGTTCTCCTGGAAAGCTTGCCTACATTTTTAAACATTCATTTACATACTCACTCAACAAACATTTGCTAAGCAAGTACATATGTTAGCCCATATTCATTTATAGAGTTTTAAGGCAAAAATCCTAAGTTTGGATCTTAAAAGACAGTTCCACCTGGGAAGAGCTGCCAGATAAAATATATGACACTTTCTTAAATTTGAATTTCACAAAAATAATAAATAATATTTTAGTATAGGTATGTCATACATTTTGCATAGAATGTATTCTAAAAACATACTTCTTGTTTATTTGAAAAATCAAATTTAATATCTAAATGGTTGCTTTATATTTTTGTTTGCTAAATCTGGTATCTCTACATTTGGAGGTTAATAAATACCCCAGAGCCATCCTGGTCATTCCAATTATTATGTGTGGTATTTTTTTTAACATAGAGTAAAGTAACATATCCATGGTATTTGTAACATGTTCAGATCTTTGGAGAAAATTAATTAATATATCTATGGTGCTACATCACAAAATAGACAAGTCATCCTTGGGAAGTGGTTAGACACCATTGTGGAAGGCTTTAGTTCAGTCATTGATTAAATATGACTGGATGTTTACTATTTGTAAAGTATTATATGTTGGGTATGTTGATGCATATGATATGCATTTATAGGTGTGTTCCTGCCTTTTCAGACTTTACATTCTAACGGAAGTGTATGGAGATGACTGCACATGGTAACACAAATCAGTGCTGTCCTGCTCAGTATCAGGAGGGATGCATTTGTCATGGTACCTATGTAGTTTGGAAGACTCAGCTCACTGCTCATAGTTGAAAGATAGCTTCTGTAGCACAGTTTAAACACTACAAAATCAACTTTTGTCCATAACTCTGGTTTACTTTTTTCAAACAGATTCCTGTTAGTGGAATTTTAGGAAACAACAGTGTATAGGACAGCAATCTGATGTCATTCTCCTCCTCATTACCCGGGCCCAGCTCTCTAAGCAGCAATTCTCAGCTTCTGAGTGAATCAGGGCTTGGGAGAGCACAGGTTGATAAGCTTCACGCAAAGTGCAGACAGAAGACGCGTGGCAGCGTGGGAGAGAGAATCTGCATGCTCCTTGTATGGAGATCACAGCGCTCCACAGTGATCTGAATTCTTCCCACTGCTGTGCTTCAATGTCTGTGTGAGTCATCCAGTGCTCACTCTTCTAACATCCCTTCTTTTGCACACTTGTCTGCTCTGACCTCTGCTTGTTTTCCCCCTTGGTTGGAGAGTTTTATGCCTTCCATACCAGGACTGTTGGTCCTATCTTTGTTTTTCTCTAACGCCTTTGCTTTCAAACAGTTCCTAACCTCATGGTTTCTCTTCACAACTCTTAGTAAGCTATAGCAAATGATATGAAAAATTCTGAGAAGTAAAGAAGTCCTACTGTAGTTTGTTTGGCAGTAGATAAGAATGACTAGGTAAGGAAATTTCTTTCACTGTTGTAACAATTGTGAAGGAATAAAAAAATAATCATTGTGTAGGAAGTCTAAGCAGCCCTAGGAGTATCACACTGATTCTGTATAAATCCCATGGAAAGAAACATGTTCGAAGTGCATATTCAGAGATGAAGCACAGAGCAAAGAAACTCAAACATTTCCCAGGTGGAGGGGGGTGAAGGTGATGATGATAAATTTTTTGGTGGGATTTTTTTCAGGTAGACCATGGGTAAGAGCAGCAAGTCTACCTCTGCTCTTCCAAGTATCCCCAGTGCTTTCCACATCTTTTTCATACTAACATTTGAACCTTGCCTCTGGGTTTTTGTCATTGAAAATGACATTGTACAGTTATGAAGTCCTGCTTTTTTTTTTTTTTTGATGTCGTACTAAAAAAGTAGAGAGAACTTCACAAATGTGGACCACTTTGAATTGAGGTCCTTAATTATCTCCACATGTTCAAGCTACCTTGGATTTTGAAAATCTGACCAATTTTTCTTAAACTTTGCTGTGTTAGAGATTCTTCTAGTTATACAAAGCCTTAAAAGACAGATGGCCTTCCCAAACTACCACAGCAAAATAATTCTAGAATGAAAGGGAAGAAAGTGTTGCATTTTAAAAATGTGTGGCCCAGCTGATATATGTACATGATTAATTATTTCTAGATGTGGGCCACATTATACACACTAATACAAACATTTTCATAGTTTGCTAGCATTCTGAAAGCCACACTTTCTGCATAACTCAGATATACAGAATGGCTTTACCTATAGCTCTCTGGATCTATGACGTCTTAGTGTGCAAATCTATCACTGGTTGTCTAATGGGTTAACTACAGAATCCTGTGTTTAGTCTACTGGACATATGCCTCAAAAAAGGCAATTTTTGGCAATACATTGAACATCTAATATTACAGATTTAAAGCAATATTTCAATATGTGGTCTAATAAAAATGTGTGAATTTTATATCTGATAGTTCTCCTGGATGAGATGCACTTAAGAAGACAACAGATGTTTACAGATACAAGATCAACAAAGTCAACTTTGGCTAAAGAGGTACTTCCACAAATGGTCTCTTATTTGCACTAAGCCTTAATTCGATGTCTTATAAGACTGCTATTCAGAGGAAGAAATGACACAAACTATTTGAAAGCACTCTGTCATATGTTGCTACATAAATAAAATGTTACTAATTGATTAACTTCTCTTGATTGATCTCAGGTTATTATTGCATTCACATGTACCCCAAGTAGACACAGTGACTTGCATCTACCTTTTCCTAAATTCTGTAGTGAGTCACTGTTTATTTGGAGGCATGAAAATTATAATCTTTAAATACAGTTGATCTGCATAAAGACATCTGAATTGATTTACATAATGTCTTGACTGGAGTTAGACTGAGAAGAATGCAAAGTTCATTTTAATAATGTACTAATAATGTGTTATCTCAGTTGTTCACTTCATTGTTGGGTATCTTATCTCCATATCTATTGGTTGTTTTTTCTTTAATATAAACATACATGTTTTATGTCCTATCTCAGATCACAACAGTTTTAGCTAAGAAACAGTCTGCTTTAAGGAACTAACCTGTTTTCATGTATTAGAATTCAAATTTTCTCTGGCAAATTATTTGTCATTTAATAGGGTTATCTGGAACCACAGGTTTACCAGAAGAGTGAACTCTCATAAGAATTTCCAGTATGATGTCATCACTGTGGTAAGCATTCTGGGTACAGAGAGTGTATGGGGTGTTTTAATCATATGTGTGTAGATGGTCATTCATAGAGAGGCACATCCACAGCGTTCCCATTCCTATATCTATCCCATTATGGAACTAGGAAAAAGTCCCGACTGAGAGGCAGGTGATCTTAGCTCTGGAATTATATAATCCAAGGCAACACTCATCTTGATGACTGAATCCCCTCTACACCATCCCTATGAAATTATTCAACCAATCTGTCGTTAAGTACCTCTAGTTAGAGAAACTCAGTTCCTTTGGAAGCAATCTATGTAGAGCAGCTTCAATTGTTAACAAAATTTTCTTCTATTTAGTTGAAAGAATCTCCATACAACTTTCAACACTGCTCCAATTCTATAATCTTCTGCCCAGACATCTTCATAATGTTATGTACTGTTATGCTAATTAATATAATCTTTAAAAGCAGCACTATAAGGAATGTATAACACTGTTATTCTCAATATCTGAACAAGGAAACTGAAGTATAGAAAAATTGGTTTTCTCAAGGTAACAATATTTGACTGCGGCTAAGCCTGAATTCAAACCCAAGTGATTTGGCTCTAAACCAAAGTCGTGCTCTAAACTGCTCTATCACACTATCTCTGACAGTCAAGTACTTGGATATAGCCTATATGACGTCCTGATTCTTTTCTTCTGTGGGCTGCACATCCCTAGGAAATCCCTTTTCCATAAAAGATTCCTGCTTTCAATAGCAGGGTACTTTATTCCTATGACTTAGGCACAGCTGGGATTTCTAGAAGACCAGTGGGGGTTCTTCAAAACCTGAAAGATGACTTCAAACCTTCCTTTCTACCTGCAGCCCTGCCTTTTCTTTCTCCCAGCCTCTTTCACCCCCTGCTGCCAGGCCTCTCTGGGAGCCTACACTCACCTGTGTGTACAAACATGTGCTTGACGTAGTTCTGTTTGGCGGTGAAAGTCTTGTTGCAGAGAGTGCACTCATAAGGCTTTTTTTCACCTTGCCCACTGGCTGTGCTGTGGCCTGCAGATGAGGCCAGGGGCTGTGGCGCTGGCAGCTGTGCAGTAAAAGTTGACAGGCCGGGCTGGGAGACTGTCACAAACTGGGTTTGCTGGCCTGCCAGGGGCTGTGGCAGACTGAAGAGGAAAGGCTTGGGGCCACTGCCTGCAGGCTGGGTAGTGAAGAGGGCTGGCAGGTAGGTGTTGCCAGCTGTGCCAATGACCTGTGTGTTGCTGGTCAAGGTCAGAGGCATCCTCAGGTTGCTGGTGAGGGTTTCTGTCTGGCGTAAATACAGCTGGGTACTTGGCAATGGCTGCCCAATAGATGTGTTGATGGAAGGCTGTTGTTGCAGGACGCTCTTATTGGAGCTGTTGCTGACAGAGATGACTGTGCTGTCCATTTCTCCCTCATTGCTTCTCTCAGGAGAGGAGGCGCCTGTTTCTAGTTGGTTTGGCTGTGCGCTGCCCTCAGCAGGGGCTTCAGCAGCCTGCTCCGGTTGCGTGGGCTCTGACTGGCCTTCCCTTGTTGCACCAGGCCCAAACTGTGGTTCCACCGAGTCGGGTTCCGTGCCTATAGAAGAGCTGACACCTGAATCAAAGCTTTCGCCTTTGGGCTCGCTCTCGGTGCCTTCCGCCTGGTCAGTGTCTTCTGTGCACTCCTCTGATTCATTGCGCTCCAGGATCTGCACCCTTTGTTGCCCGTAGTAGTCATAATCGTCCTCCATCTCCTGCTTGATGTGGATGTTGCCCATCAGGGTCTGGATGCGCACGGGTCTGGGCTGCTTGCGGCAGTGTGTGGTCTCAGGGGTGGTGGACATGTAGCGCTCCATCTGCGAGCGCTCGTGGATGCGGGTGATCCAGTTGGGGTCTTCCATGTGGTGGTCGCGGGGCAGGCTGAGCGCAGTCTCATGGTGGCTGACTACCGCACCGCTGTAGAAGGAGCGCTCACCGCTGCCATTCTGCATGGAGCAAGCATAGAGCGCTGAGTAGATTCTGTCCACACTGTGTTGTGGGTGGCTCTGCAGGTAGCCCGATTCTGTATCACTGCTCTGGCCAGACGTGCCCGACTCAGGAGTGCCTCGCGGTGTGTCCTGGCCGGAGTACTGGATGCCCGGGAAGACATCGCCCACGTTCTGCGACACTATGCGCGTGCATTCATCTATGACGGTTTTGATCTGCAGGATGCTGGCAGCTGTGAGGATCTGCAGGGCTTCCGACTGTGATACGCGCAGCACGCCGCTGTACATGAAGTCAATGAGCTTTTGTACCGACTGCACTGACACCACTGACGGGATCTCAATGTCGCTATAGCCCAGTAGCAGCTTGTCCTGGAAGAACGGACTGCCTGCTGCCAGCACGCAGCGGTGCGCGCGCAGCATGCTCCCGTGGATGCGCACCGTCACGTCACAGAAGTGGCCACGGTTGCGCTGCTCGTTGAGGGTCTCGAGCACGGAATTGCTGAAGTTGTGAAGATTGATGCTGTGAATGCGCTCGGTCATCCCCTTGCAACTGATGTCACCTGCAGTGCAGCAAGGCAGACGAAAAACAGGGCATGGATCAGACCTAGTTGACTGCATTCCTAACACACAGTCCCAAGGCAGCAATTCTAAAAGCACCCTCTTTGCAGACACAGGTGGGGAGAGGAACAGGGCTTCCATTCCCACCTTAGTGTTCCAGCTCTTTTGGATATGGAATTCATATTAATCCCCCAGAGTTTCATCTGAAGTTTTCAGTCAAAAGAATATCACGTGGGTCATCTGCCTGCTATTCCTACAATTTCAGCAAAGCAGAACTGAGTGGCAATGGAAAATTTGTTCTCAGGGAACGCTAACTCCACTTTAAACAAGTCATGGCTCAAGTTCTTGGAAAGTTTACATTTACCCCAGTTTATCAAAGTTCCTTATTTTATTCAAAGAAGCAACAGTATTCTATTAGTTTGTATAGTATATTACAATAACTCACATCATGTATGCAGAAATTCTTGGAAAATTCAACCAGACCAAGATATCTATCAGTTGCCACCATCCAGATGACAGACTAGCACAAAATATAATCTGCTAGCTAACGGGGCATTCACTGGCTGTTTTCTATATCATCTTTGACAACCTGTTTGAGCACGACTTTAAACAGTTATGTGTGATGCAGGTGATATTCTGAGGCTTAGTGAAGCTGATCACATGTATCATTGAAACTGCACTTTAAGAGTGAAGAGGTGCACTGTTAATTAGGCCAGGAGAGCAGGAGGAAACCATGAGCAGGACACACACTTATCCTAGGTAATAGGGTGCTTGATGCACCTGCTGTGGATGACTGTGAAACAGCTCCCAGGAGGAAGGTAACAGTCAGCTATGTGGTACCTGACCCATTGCCACCCTGACCCTCTGCTAACTATGAATGTTAAGCTGTGCAGCTACTAGATAATTTTAGTAGCATTTGGATCCATATTGAGAAAGAAAACAGGAGGCTACAGCACTAAGTCTTAAGGCTTTTTAAATTTCTCTTCCTCATCTCTTAGATGGCTCTCTAGAAGCTCTCTTTCCAAATCATCCTTCAACCAAATTTCCATTCTTGCTTTCACAACTGAACAATCAGTCTAGGAGAAGCCAGGTACGAGGGCTTTCAAAACAAGGATGTCCCAGTACTGATGGTCAGCCCGTGGCCCCGACTCCTGTCTAGCTCATGGTCTGCAGAATGGACAAGGCCCACTTCTCAGGTTCTTTATCTCTTCCTGGTGATATAGGACCTGCTCAGGGAAGTCTGGACTCCTCTAGCTTTTCTGCTTTGCTTTATGTGGTCATCCTCATGCTGAGTGAACTGAATTTTATAAACGCCTGCAAGCTCTGTATTCACATTCAGTGATAAAATTTACATCAATTTATGTGAGATAATCCTTTCTTCCCACCTTCATGGGGTCTGTTACATAGCTGACATACTGTTTGTGGACACAGCTTTCATGTTTTTTACATGAAACAAATTTTCCTTGCCAGATCAAGAATCACAGTGACTTCCCTATAATTGTCGTAATACAAGACACGGTGCCAAAGAAGGCCACAGTAATGCAGAAAGGGATGTTCAGGAATTTGGTCAATAGACAAAATTCTAAATTCTTGCTGAGGTACACATCCATGTACCACAAAAGAGTAAGAACAAACATTTTTTAGAGCTTACCTTGTATCAAGCACTGTCATACCATTATATGTATTTTATTTAATCTTCATAGCAATCATGTTGTTACTACTATTATCCCCACTTCATAGATGGGGAAATGGAAGCCAGATAAATTAAGAACATCTCAAGGGTACATAAATAACTGATGGAAAAGCTGGCCTTTGAACCCAGCTTTCACTATACTACATACTTTGGCCCTGACAGTGCCCATAGATTTATTGTAAAGCTGCGTTAAAAGTTTGCCTACTACTTTCTCCTGCTACTGCTATACCTACCGAGGACTTAGCATGGTTTTCATGTTTTTAGGACTTAAGGTTTTAACATCTAACTTTTAAAAAGCGAACAATGCAAGAAATGAAACAACCTATCCAGGCATGAAAGTATAGTTTTCTAAGTACAGTTTTGCTGTCACTCTTTCCTTTAAGTAAAACAATAGGTGGGAATACTGGTTGCAAACAGATGGCAGTGCAATCATCATCTCTAGAGAGGATGGAGTTACTAATTTTAATAACTTTTTTGTACTCAGGTGAAACACACATTTGATCATAACACCAGAGTTGTCATCTCTCAAGTAATTTTAGGAAGCATCTCTGTCACAGTTCTCACAATAGCCATGTAGTATATTACAGTGTGTACAAAATTCTCTCACTTGTAATATTTCATTTACTTTTTACAACAATCTAACAATCCTCTCACAGTCAGGACAGGTCTTATTATTCCTATTTGACATAAAAAGAAGTTGGGCCTCTCAAGGTGTTCAAGTTAGTGGCCTGAAATTTTACACAGATAGCAAGTGGCAAGGTTGGGATTAGTCTATGCTTCTTGATGCCTCTTGCTCTGTATTCAGTGGATCCTTGAGGCATAAAACTTGGAATGCTCAAGATCTAGGGCCATCTTTATTTTCAGCAGAAAAAAAGGCACTGAAATTTATGCTAGAGATTGCTTTGGAGGTAAGAAATGACCAACATCAAAATGTGTCATCACACACACACACACACACACACACACACACACACACACACACAACTGCATGAGAAAAATTCAAGCTGCTTGTTGAACCAAATTAAATTTCACATTTATTCCATACAAAGAATTAGATTATTTGCTAAATAATCTGAGTTACATTATCAACTTCATTAATAGCTACAAACAGAAATATAAACATACACATATATACAACCTGGCCTGATAAACCTGGTTGGATCTTTACAGACATAATTCATAAACATTTCCCTAGGTATACTGGCCCCACACTGTGGTGAACAGCTGTGAAAAGCTGAATCGTTTTTCTGCTGATATGGGTACAGATGCGATGGGGGACTCTGCCTCTCTATTCAAGCACATCTCATTCCTGCAGCACACAATGCTGAGGCAATTTCTTTCCCAGGCTTTCTTTTATTTTTATCACTAATACAGTGGGAAAAGTTTCTGCCACAGCAAGGCAAAGTCCAGGCTTTTGTGAACATGTCCTTTTCATCCAATGGGCATTAATGTATAGATTCCAAAGGAATAAAACTGAAATACTCTACTGTAGAAGATTTGTTCCCCATTGAAAACAAATCTTGATTAGATGCTTATTCAAGGACTGTATAGGAAGGAATGGTGTGAAAATGCTAAATCTGTTGTTTCCTAGATTGGCACTGAATAGGCATTTGGGCTATTCAAATCAAAACAAAACAAAATAAAACAAAAACCCCACATAACAACTAGTCTCTCTCCCCTCCAAACTCCAGTCCTCTCCATACTACGGGATGATACAACTTTACACAACTTTTGTGTATTTGAGGATTGCCTCCCCATTCTAAAAAATTCACAATTATATGAACATAGAAATGATGGCAAATTAAAACAGAAAGTGCTGAAAAGAATTCTCTATGTGGTTTAACATAATGCTCTATACCCTTGCCACCAAAGTAAAAACATAAAGTCAGCCTGTGATGGTATTCAGCTTGAAACATGCAATCACATGTGGTTATGTAGTCTCTGTGACTATGTTCTATGGTAGGCTATAAATGGAGCTGAATCGGGGATGAGTTCTGCAGGGAAAGGCTGCCTGGTAAAATAGGTGGCAGAGGGTGTGACTCTCTGCTGTGTAGGAACTTTGTTCTGGCCTGTCCCTTTAGCTTGAGGGTCCAGGGATAGGACTTAGCATGAGAATAAAAAGCTGCCTGTGATAAGAGAAAATGAACAAGAAAGAGGAGGCAATACAATCTCTTTTAATTAGGTGTGAAACCCAGTCCTTTCTCAGTTGGGAGAGTGAAAGGGTATATAAAATGAAACCAGTGCAAGGATAAGTAAGGTGCTGGGGGTGGGCGTGGGAACTTGAAGGCTCTATGACGGGATGAACTATCAGCTCTCAAATTAAGACCAATATGAATTTTGGTCAAGGCAATAGGTCCAAGTCAAATGGCAGGGTTGAAAGCCCTTGGGCTTTCAATCTGGGGCACCAGGCTCAGACGAGGTAAGTGGGTCAGCATATAAAATAGGGCTGGGGTAGCCAAGTCTCCACAGCCTAGCCTGATTTATCATATTAATTCCAATCTTGACATCTTTTGTACAGTGAGACTGATCTTTTTTTCTATCAGGAGCTGAATGATTATCTTAAACTACTACATATTAGGCATTACTTGTCAAGGTGGTCATAGTAGGAAAGTGTCAACAGACTCTGGAAAAAGCAAGTATCTGTTTTTGGCATCCCTAATCTCCCAATCTTCTGCCAACACCTACGTGCTAAGAGGGCTCTCTTGAGCCCTACCAGCCAGAACAAATGGCCTTGTACTTCCCTCTTCTTTCTTCCTGTATCACTGACATCTTCACATTTTTGAAGGGTAGATGTGAGCACTGGGGAAATCATCCATGCAAGTGGAGGGCAGCAGGCAGAGCAAAATTTCCTTCTGATAATGGCCCTATATGCTTAGCATATTCCAGCTGTCAAAACCACTGTGAGGGGACCACAGAAAGGTGAGCAGCCTGCAGGAGAAACAGTTGTACAGTTTTGCTTTCCCACTCTTGGATGAAAAGGAGGATGCTCTGGGTCATCTTCTAAAGAGAGCTCTCCTCTCTATCTTACAGGATGCGTAAACCTAGGGTGCAAGAACCATCAAGGGTTTCAGCACATTTCTTAGCCTCTGATAACAGGATTCTTCTCATGGAACATAAATCCGCTGTTTTTGACTTACAGAAATTTGGTTTTCAAACATATTTCCAGGAACACACTAGCTATATAAATTGCTGAATGGGTTTTTGTAGTCACTGCTTATTATTTTAAGCTGCATCAATATAACTAAAACTGTTAACTTGTTTAGATTGCTTACAACACTACTAAGGTAAATACTGTAGAAATGTATATCT